ATCTTTGACAATGTGTGTTGTATTGCTAGAGATGTAACCATGAGAAAATTCTCGTCAATCAAATAAAACACTCTGTGAAGCTAATGTTGTAAAGTGATATACACCAAGTTTGACCAAATCAAGTTAAATTCTGTCATGAAAATCAAACCCGAAATTTTACCATCAATCAGATGATTTACTGACATTTTGATCCTTTATCTTTTCATAGGCCAAACTATTTTACAAAGGTAGGCACAAGGTTGAAACGAAAGCAAATATGCGGATTAGATATTTTTTTATGTTAAAAAATAATATCAATTTCAAGGTTAAGAATGACACCCACACTAGTCATTCATCACTGCAGCGCTTCTGATCTTAGGCAGTTTGCTGCAAGAAGAGTACAAGGGTATCTTTGCAGAAGTGAGGAATATAAAATACATCAAATAATAATATAACCATCATTATCAACAGCAACACCCTTATTATTCGTGTACCTTTTTTGTTTATAAGTACCTATTTGCATATCTAATTTTCACCCAAACTTGCAAAAAGCTAGGTCTATTTCTGCCCAGTCCCTCGTGTATGTAAAACATGTTAGCCTGCACAAAGATGACCTATAAACCTGTTAGTGATGCTTTGGTTCGAAGTTGAATAAATGCGCGCTTTAAATAAAAGCGACCTACCACAAGCTGCGCAGTTGTGGTTTTACCATAGCGATTACGATCATAATTGTTGGGTTTAGGATGAAATTTCTCTACGTGCGTATTCATTATGTGTATCGGACTCATTGCAGGAATAGGGCCGTTCGTCTATAAAATAAACGAAGGAGAGCGATAATCGGATCTGTCTAATATGCCGAAGCTGTAAGCAGTTCGTCTTCGAGATCTTGTCAATAAGGCAGACACAGCATTTCAGCTTACGCTGAAAACCGATATCGGCGTTTAGCTCTTTAGTTTCTTTTTGTGGCGAAGAAAAATCATGAACGGTTCTAAGCCGGATCCCCATTTCATGAATATTGCCTCTGGCCTGAGATGACTCGGGCTCTAAAATAAAATCAAACATTGCCCGGCATAACCTGCAGATGCGACAAAATCTTACTCGAGTTTAAATAGGACTGTTCGAATCCCATATTTAGAAAATATTAATGCTTCAATGTTTTATATAACGTTTGTAACTCATACATATAGCCATTTTCAGTTGACAAATTAAAAATTTAATACATGAACTTAGAAGTACGCTTCCTGTCTGGAAAAGTATAGTGCTGCTAGAAAATTAAATAACTATTAAATTTAGCACACATATAGCATACTATAGTGGACTAGCTGGTGCCCTTCATGTTTGGGAACTCTTCGGAACAAATGAGACACATATGATGACCTGTAGTACAAAGCTTTTTTTTTCCTTACCGAATCAATCTGCATGCGATTGTGTACGAAGAGCTAATTGAACAGAACGCCTATTAACTGTTTTCAATCAATTTCAAGAACACACACTGCAGATAGTTATGGTAGAATCAGACCTCCTGACCAGTTAATAATACATCGCCGGCATGCCCCCTCTTTAATATTATTGCATTATTTACAACATGTACTAAAATCACAAACACTGTTCTTGTGCTTATAGGCTCATATACCAACAGGTTGTGTAGTTTGCTAATAATAACGTACGTTGCCCTTGAATCCTGTGTTTTCGAAAATCGTCGACTCGCTGAAATCATAGCCTCGCAGCCTTCGCATTCAAAGGCCACCGAGCTTACCTTGTTGAGTGAATGCCCTCCCACGCAAGAAGCAGGAAAATTTGCATTTGGCTACAATGAATGATGAGTAAAACAGAGCTAAGTATATTTTTACCAATTTTAAACCGTCATGTTCATAAGAATGTATTAACATCATGTATACGAAAGCACGAGTCTCATCTCAGATTGTAATGTAATAAAATGTAGCGATTTAGTTTTTAAAATCCTACGTAACTGATAAATCGTTGCCTTCTTCCATTTATTCTGAATAGAATTATGTTTGAGCTATGAATCTTTCAAAATGGATAATATTTTTTCATATCAAAATTTTCTATACTGTTAGCATACGAACGATCATTGCCACTGTCTTAAATACAACAAACATAATTGCGTCGGTTTTTTTAAAGAGAATTTGAGCCGCTATTAACGCGTACAAACATCGTAAGGCATTTTATGTGGGCCGAATGACAATCTCAGCTCCAACAGTTGAATTTAATTTTGCCAAGGCCATTACCCACTAATCCTCAATCATTCTCTTACCCTTCACTCTGAATCAATTCGGATCTTTGTGTTAGGAGTACTATGGATTGTTAAGTTAGGCAGACATTTGTGCCTGCGTAGGTAAGTAGTGTCTCCATAATTTAAAGCATAGATATGGATAGGAGTTTAAATATTTCTACTCCAGTTCCATCCAAACTACGGAATATTTGAACTTCACCATCAGCAAAGTGATACATACACGTTAAGGCTGCCAATAACTATCAGCAAGATCTGGTCTAATCACAAAACTCTAGTAGATCGTCTACGCTGAAAAGCTCGAGATAGGTCTGTTCGGCAAATCGAAGGCCTATGTTTAATTTGACAAAACAAATTTTGTCGTTCAAGGGTTTGCAGTCAACGTGTTCGTGCAGACTGTTAAATGTTTTCTTGCATTCACAACACATGTGCGTTACTGGAGTATATGTTTTCTTCTATATGTCTACAACAAATCAAATATCAAACGAAAGCCAAACTTCAATAACTATATAAAATCAGCTTATTTAATTGTTTACCTTCTTATATATCTTCTCCAAATAAAAGATATCTACTACTAACATCACTCAGCACCGAAAAAAAGCGAAAAAGAAGAAGTATGAAAATTGTATACAAAAGAAACCCTAAATATAATATGTATGAAATGCACATTTCTAGACGATTGCTTCATTGATCCGCCTGCAGCGAGGATGAGGGTAAATCTTTACTGGTCTGTTTCGACGAAGGCCTTCGATATTTGAATCGGGACGGTCTTGTAGACGGCGTACGAAATTTAGAAGGACTAGGAGGGGATGAACTTAGCCATGATCTACCTTCAGCCAACCGTTTTGAAGTGATGGTGGTACTTGCTTCTGCTGTGTTCACTTTGATAGCTGATGCACTGCCTGACTACACTATTGGCTTGGCGTGGTAATAAAGCTGGCTTGTTTAAATAGTTTCGCCTGTAAAAAAACATTAAAGCAATGCTTAGTTACGTTCGTTATCGAAATTCAGTATTAACAGTTCCATTAAATTGCGTATAAAAACCAACTGAACGGCACGAAAGCCAAGTGAGCGTGTCATGGGAAGGGTTAATCCCTTACAATAAGTATATATACAAAAATGTGATTACTTACTTCAGAAGATCTTAATAAGAAAAATTGCAATTTCTACCTTTAGTTACCATTAGTTAAAATAAGAGTTAATCATTTTATTCAGCCTCGAGCTATTAATCTCAGTTTCAAAAAATCAATTTTGGATCCCTGCATAGTTTTTTATTATAAAATATAATTTCATTTGAGACTCAAAACAAATTAAGAGTTGGTATTTATAAATACATTTTATTTATAAATTTAACTAAATCTGCTGTCTCCTTCAATTTCAGGCTAAGCCTTCAATAAAGTAAATGTGACGCTACATATGTCTTATGTAAGACGTCGTTATAACAATGTATTAATAATAGAGACACATTCACGGAGAATAGCATTGATTGACTGTTTTCACTAAATCTGTGAGAATTTTTGCGTGACCAAATGTGTCAACGCTTCACGTTGCTGTCCTCGATGCGCAACGTAACGCGAACTCTAGTTGCGTTCTTATTTTCTACGGCAGATTATCGAAGTGTTGGCGCTTTCATTGGAAATTTGTTGACACCCAGGGCAGAGGCCAGGAACCGCGCTGGCTTCAGTGTGTGCTACAACGTCAACTCGATTATCGCGTCAAATGAATACTCTGACACGGCCTGGAAGGTTTAGTTAACGATACGCCACCTTTTACTAGTTTTCAATACAATACCACTAGGATAGCCACGGATGCCAGTAGGGTAGTACATACAGATAACACAAAATCTTGGAGCTTAGAATACTCCGCGATTTCAATACGAGGCTAAAGCGCGGTGTAGTCGACTTAGTAAGTCAAAAACACTTAGGCCGGTTACCCACCTGCTTCACTTCGTCAGATTTTCCCTTCACGAAAAAGAAAATCACACATTAGTTCTCCTACAGAGTCACTTCGCTAAAAAAACAAACAGCAATAGCTGTCTAAAGCATTTTTTTAATACTGGCATCCTAATAGCAGTGTCGCTGATGCATGAAGTATTTGACGGTAGCAGAGTACGAGCTGTCTGCCGCTTCCTTCGTGCCGACGAAGCTATTCGGATCCGGTCCCGCTTTAGTCTGCTGCAATTGCACACAATTCGAAATATACGCAGAAGGCCTCTAAAGTTAGAAATATTTACTAAGGGTATGAGGCGCCCATACAAAAGATACTGTGTTCTATCTATACCTGAGCGCCCTCCTAATAATGTGGCACTTCTAGAAAATACAATTTGGAGCGTATTGAAGGTAAGAGGTGCAGTGTATTTCGTAAATCACTGACACTCACCCTGCGCGGTTGACTACAAAACGATGAAGCGATTTCTAAATAATACTGCTGAGATCACCATTTTATTTTACAATAGAGTAATTGATGCACTGGTGCGTCTACTAAAAAGCAGCAGGAAATTACGAAAGTCTATATTGTTAACAATGCTTTTCTCCCTGACGGCGGGATGGGCATCTATTATCTCAATTTAATGATTCGAAATGCTCACCTAACCCCTTTTCTAATTACAAAAATCTATAATGTGAACATCTGCTTCTCAACTCAGTCATACTTATGAAGACTGCAGAGCAAATTTTCACAACTAATCCTGAGACACGGTTACACAATTAAGGATCTCTTAGAAATAAGACATTCGCAATATTTTCTAACAAAATTGCATATTTTTATTGCACTTTATAAGGTATGCCACTGTATGCATATGTATATACTATGCACAACAATCACAGATATTCTACAATTCGGTCATAAAATGATCTAATCCTTGCTTATCTATGGATCACGGTGTAAGATATTTTGTGTAGCACTGCAGAATCGAAATTTAAATAATGTCACGTGTTTATTTAGTGAATTTCACTGTGCATTTAAATTTTGTTCAGTTTGCACGATGTATTTATGCTTTGAAAATTTTCTCACGGCTCAAAATATTCGTGTATATAACACGTTTGGTTCATTGACTGATGTCTGAAAGAGACTCTTTCACTATCGCCTTACTTCCATAATATGAAAATTTAAGACAGTCGTATTAATTAAGTAGTACTTGAAACCGAGATTTTGTCGCCGCCCGACTTGAAGAAATCGTCTATAATTTCTTTTAACAATGACTCGATTTGATGCCGTTCCACTACAGTGAATCCACAAAGCACACTAATGCATCTCCAGCCATGCACTTACAGACAAGTACTTGTTTGGTTTCAGATATATTCATTGAAGAATAAATTAAAATAAATATCAAGGACTATCCCAAAAGGGACAGGGGAGCTCGACCTTTTACGAGCCCGCCTCTGTACAATGCTTCATACTATGAAACGCAACAAACACTTCGTCACTAAGCAATGAACAAATATACCCATCTCGGCAACATCGTATGCTACCGCGCAACCTAAATCCTTAGGATACTTTTTTGTAGCTTTAAACATAAAAGCGTTCTCCAGGACAAATTTACTGTAAAAAAAAAGCACGGTTTTCGAGATTTGGGGGACGAACATATATCGGGTTATAAAAGAAGTATTAAGTGCTCTTCGGTTCTGGCTTTTGGTAACTAATATTTTCTATAAACTGATTATGCCCCGTTTTGATCGATGACCTTTTGTTATTTTTCTAGTAATATCATAATTCCATCAGTGTAGAACTTCTGAGTGAGAATTTAGCAAGTGATTTTTGCATTACAACGAAATTAATAACATTAAGCCGCTCTGCAGAGACAAAAGCAAATGATACTCTGATTGTGCGATATTCCGGCAATACGTTGGATGCATTTAAAATTCCCGTCCATATTTTCTCAATTTTTTCTGGGTAGCCAAAGATCAATGTGGCCTCGATCGATATTTTTAGAGGCTTATCGTAATTTTGTTAGCTGCCAACAGCAGAGGTTCGAAACAATCGTTTCGGCAGGCGATAGCAGTCCATAATGCACGAATCCTCTTCAATTCAAACACACGGCATCACCTTCCTTGGCGTCAATTTGGGGTTAGCCCCAGATAGTAGAGCACGTTTCTTTAGTTTCTTTCAATTTGCACATTACTGTCGTATGTAATTTACTCTTCATCATTCCTGACCAGTAGCTTTAAAAAACGCTTGATTTTGTTACATTTCTGTGAAGCTTCACAGATGGAAATACGATCGTTTAAACTCGTTGACATCAATTCTTGTGGCACCAAAGCATTGAGCTTTCTTTGTAGCCCTTCAAATAGTTTGAAACTCTTTAATGGTGGACGTTTAGTCCCTTAGCAGCATCATGAACACTCACGTATCGGTCTTGTTCACTTTTGCCGTAACTGCTCGACCGTTAATAGAAGTATTTCTCACATCGATGTTCTACAATGAAAGCGGCAGAACCACTTTTAGGCCATTTCTTTCGATAATGCATCTTGACTATAAACAAAAAAAATGTACATATATATACACAAACAAGACAAACAATGCACTATGAGGTGAGCATATATAGCATAGGAAGCTCAAATAGCATAATAATCGTTACAAACAATAACAGTGCCTCGTATAAATTATTTATCGAGCACTACCTGCCGATATCAACATTACGCCATTATTAAAAAATATCAAACTCTCTCCAATGGTGTAAGTTGTTGGGATTTTTAGAAAATTGAGATGTCAGACAGAGCAGAAATATGCAGTATGTTTCTGTCGAGCGTGGCGCGTTGTTTTTCGAAAAGAAATTTGAACAGGAAGACAATAACTTTATGTTATGTAAAAGCATTTAGGCCTGAACGGTCTGCCCTTACTATCTCCTCAAAAAAAAAAGGCTCTCAGCCATCCATTGTGGTGATTCAACGTTCGTTCTGTTCCACTCTATCACCTAACTACATTATTGACTATATCATTAATTACGCCATTGTTGACTGCCAGATCTTCGCTTGCATTTTCCGGGCGTTCTTCGCCCCTTTGGTGACTGCTCCTTCCATTTCCTTCACCGTGTTTGACCAGCATATGCCTACCAACGGAGTGCTTCTGGGATGCCGCGTAGCTGCACATATTGCACTTGAATGGCTTCTCTCCAGTATGTTTTCTCATGTGAACCTTTAGCTGACCCTTTTCAGCGAATGTTGCCCAACAAACGTCGCAACCGAAGGGACGAATATTATCATGAAGTTTCTCATGGGCCCGTAAACTTGACTTGGTTGCCAGCTGCTTATCGCACTGACCACACGGAAACGTTCGGCCCTTGTGTCTTTTCAAATGTTCACGCAGATAATTTTTATCGGCGAACGCTTTGCCACACTGGTCGCAGGCAAACTGTTTTTCATTACGATGCAATCGTTCGTGAGCTTCGAGCGTCACTTTGGTTGCGAGAATCTTGCTACAGATGCTACATTTGTGTACTTCTCCATGCTGACGCTTTGTATGCTCGAGTAGTCGCTTGTTATTCCGATAGGAAGCGTCACATTGGCGACAACGAAATGGTTTTTCCGCTTTGTGCAGCGATTCATGGGCTTTGAGCGAATCAGCCGTTGCCAACTCTTTGCTACATACGGAGCACTTAAATGTTCTACCGGAGTGTAACCGTTTGACATGTTCGCGAAGATTCTTCTCTCCCGGAAAAGTTGCACTGCATTCTCCGCATGCGAAGGGTCGTTCATTACGATGTAACCGCATATGAGATTCGAGTGTTTCCTTTGAGCACATTTCCTTTGAGCAAGTGCTGCACCACAGTAACTCGTCGCCATGCTTCTTTAGGTGTTCGCGAAAGTAGTTTTTGTTACTAAATGACGAGCCGCATTCTAAACACTTGAACCGTTTTACCTGAGAAAGGGCCGGCCAATGACAAGATAAGAGATCAATCAAATGTTTCTAGATACCACTTCTTGCTTGGAAGATACTCTGTGTTGGTCTCTACAGTATCACGGGCTTGTTAGAAACCATTATGCGAAAAATTTACTGTACATTACTGGCATAGGTTGAAATAAATAGTATATCTCTGTAAAGCAAGTACATATAAAACTATCTGGTACGAAAGGGTAAACCACGTTTGGTTTGAAAGTGAACAACCATTCGAATGTTACTCTGTATCTCATTCGAAAGCTTCTTTTGTGACCACCACGTTTGGACTAATTTAATCATTAAAGAAAAAACTTGATTCCTTCACACAGCAGACGGACGAATTTCAACCTTAAGTTCCCGATTTTATGACAAGTAGTTGCTCTAAAGTTGGGGATTTCTAAAGAGATGTTTTTTTTTTTATTCCAAGTCTATTGAGCGTCATTAGACGCTTACCAATTTTTTAAAGTTATCAATGAGATTACTCACCTTCGTAGATTTGCCTTTGTCTTGGGCAACTGCCGGGGAAGATTCTTTTACATAAGCTCGCGGAGTTCCTGTTGTTACCCGTACAACCTTAGCTTGCCGAGAAGTCAATGTCAGTCCTGATCGAAACTTAGAGGTGCTTCTTGTTGGAACGTTCTCTTCGCAGATTTTCCATTGATGCGACCACTGACCTTTACGAACTGCATTAGCAATCGGAGCCAAATTGCAAGAAGCTAACGATGCTGAAGTTACACGTGAGCTGGCGTTAGCGCGAGAGACGTCAGCTGCTGATGCATGGTAGGTTGGATCAAGTGCCGTTCGACCTGGAACAGCCTCGTAAAACTTCGCTGGTCGATGGTATGGGACCTGAGCGGGACTACTTGCTTCTTCGACTTCCTCAAGAACAACCATATAACCTTCATCATCACCTACTGTCCAAAAATTAATCGAGCCGTACTGTATTTTTTTGGTCTTATTCCAAAACTGTCTCACTAGACCGAGCTGTTTAGGTTATTCGAAAATAGACACTATTGACGAAATATTATTGCCTAGTCTCGAAATAGATTGGCTATAGTCTTATTAGCTTGGTATAGCCTTATGGTATTCCATGAAGTTGAATACCGTTGTTTTCGCTGTATACACCTAATTATGATTTAGTGGCGTGCAAGTAGGATAGATCAGAAAAGCTGCGTCGCTTAGTTTAGTTTTACTATTATTCCAAGTGAATTATGTTGTATTAACAAAGGGGAGTTCTTTTAAAGAAGAAGCCATCTCTTCCTTTTCGTATGAATCACAATGTTGCGTTTTTATTTAGTAGCATTGTTAGGCGTATACATAATTTACCTTTTACGTAAGCTTTATAACTAAAAAGGATATACTACGTAAGTCTGCCGGAATGTGTAATACAAACGTTTAAGCAATAACGGTTAATAAGCTACTTAACACCAGAACGAACGTGCTTTTTGTAGTTAACCCATCTGATGCTGTCGCAGACGCCGAATGGCTAAACAATATTCTCTTGGCGCATTTCGCGACTGCTTAGGTTACGCCACAGTGATCAGCAGGAATTGGAAAGCATGATTGATACTCTTCTTTTTTCATTTCTTTTTGTATGTACTCGTACTAGTTTCTATATACCTACGAGAATCTGAATACTCTGTCGCATAGGATTCTCTCCTTGTTTTTAATGACCACTTTGACATGTTTGTTGGCTCCTTACCAACGTTCCCTGGAGGTGCATAAGTGTATACCACCCCGCATAAGTATATGACAGTTTTAGCGCTTTAGACTTCGTGACTTTCAAGTACCTATGCCTTTTAAGTTTCGTTAAACTTATTTCCAATAATGCAGAAGACGTTTGAAGGATGCTGTTTGTAAATCTATGCAAATTCTGTCTTTAAAGGTATATGTATAGACCTCCAACCATTCAATAAAATAGCGTCTGAGTTAAACTGACCGCTAAATGTCTCTTCCTCAAGTCCGTCATAAAGTATGATCTCAATAGTGGATTGATCCTCTTCTGTCGATGGAAGCCCTGACGAAATCTTAACAGAAGAACAACCGCTGGTTCTCTTGGCGTTATCCATTCCAGTCTCTGTGACGCTCAATTTAATAGTTGCACTTCTAAAATCAGAGTAAATAATCATTTTAATCAGAAACTTTCAAATTAAAGCCATTTACGAAAGAGACAAAAATCAAAATATTTGTTGGCTCAGTCGGAATTTTTGTCTAAAACATTGCACTAGACCCAAATAGTGATTTGGTAATTAGTAAGAAAACGGTTCACGTTAGAATCCTAGTAGCAGAAGCCGTAATGCGCTGTGTAAACACTCCTAATGTTAATAAGCATAACCCTTTTCAATAAGTGTGTTTGTGTTGTTAGTTCATTATGCATAGCGACAAAACACGCGATAAAATATTTTTATGCTTGTATTTGATAGTGATACGCAAATATTGTGACATTGGGAAATACAAATATTGGAACACCGATTAAAGCTGAAAACTATAATTACTTAGAAAAATATTGATCTATCCCAGTTCTCTTTCGGTCGATCAGCGACTAAAAAAATTTGCACTGTTTATTTTTTATGTTACATAATAGCTAAGTTAATTCATACGTTTAGTAATTTACATTGCCGCCATGGACTCGAATGTAGGGAAAGAGTTAAAGTCAAATTGCATGTATTATCTAAAATATTATTATCCAAATCTTTACTACAATCTTTTTTTACCTATTTCTTATTTTATTATAATTTTGTTTTTTGCAATTTGCCTTAATGTGCTTCTTACCCATATTAAATAATAACGATTTGCCTATGCGCTAGATATACGCTTAGTGAGTGCTTTCGCATATTGAAATTCATATTAAATTTACACGTTTTAGACACGCGGTTTGTACCTTCAGGGTTACAGCTGCAACCAAAACCAATCTACGTGACTTTGTCATAGGCTCCTAAAGGCTATTAAGAAGTAAGCCTACAAGACAGACATTACGTAGACTACAAATGCTCACTGGTTAGTTAAATTAGAAATCTATAGGGTCCACCGAAGGCATTCATACAACAATAGGAAAATGTATTTTACATTTAAACTCATATTTAATCTTTCGTTCGTTTAGTAATAAAGGTAACCTGGATACTACAATTAATTTGTAATTAAAGTATCGCACCGTTTACCAATAAGCAAGTTTCGCGCACGCAGAGACAGCGATCGTAACAAGTTTAACAAGTTTCCCCATATAATTATCGGTATTATTTGCTTATTTGCCCTATTGTTTGCTAACAACGAACTTTAGTCTTTGTAAGAATTTATTGATTTGCACAAATAAAACATTGCCTTTTTCACTGTACGCGCGAATTGTTATAATGGTATTAGCGATATAATATTCTGCCTTTAGAAAGCAATATACCTCCAATGAACTGCGATACTTGTAAAGACTACGAACTGGTAAGATCTATAACATTACGTAATTTAATGCAAACAGATCTTAATTGAGAGGTTCGCACAAGGCAACACCACCACTACTGAGTGCTTTTTTGCCCGGCGTTGCCGCTGCTTTTATAGGGCGCAAACATAAAACCTTTACTAAGGTGCGTTTACCTACCGTGAAAATATATGCGAATATATTGTTTCACCACAGCAGCAAATCGAACACTTCAGGAAAATAGATTAGCTTAAATTTCGTCGTTCTTAAGCACGCACGCAGTGTTTTCACATCTTCGCGTATTAACTGAAGTAAAAAAAAAATCAGCCCTATGCCGTGCTACTATTTCATTAAGAAACTCTCCAAATAGCCGCAAATGGATGGATGCATTTTTGTGCAGCGAATTGAACGGGGCGATGCGTAGAGTGTAAGCAAGGCCAAACCAAGCTATACCACTTGTACGCCCTTTGCTTTTAACGGGTAAACATGCTCTGAAAACAACACTTTATAGGAATGGATTAAATGAAACGCTGTATTGTAGATATATTTCACAGAGGTATTACTACGAGATTTATTGCTATATAATAAAAAAATAGAACAACTTGTTTACATGCATAATTTTCAAGAAAAACAGCAATTTAAGAACTTTGATCAGTCAAAGAAGGGCTTTTATTATACACTAGTACACACATACATTATTTTTGAGTGTGCTTTATCTAGTATCTATACATCTTGAAAACGGTTAACTTAGCCATGACTGCTCTAGTATATCAAGCTCCATATAGACTGTTAAACTACAAATTACTTAATAATACTTCTGCTACGTGTGCGATTACATTCGCATCATAAACACCGAATATTCTAAGAATTAGTGGTTTTTTAGTGTAGCAGAACATATTATTTTTTAAAAAACTTTTAGGAAATCTCGATGTACATCTCGCGCTATCGAGAAGACCGCTAAATAACTGCCTTATATAATGATAAAATCTACTTGATTATCCACCTAGTGCTAACGTTTGCACAAAATCTGCATTTTGATTTGGCAATCTTCCTTCCAGATTTATTATTTTTTATATTTTAAGTACACCAATTCTCTCTTTAGCCTGAATCCGATTAAGCAGTAAACCAAGCCTGTTAAAATAATTTTAGTATTTCATTGATATTTCACCTATGAATTTTGATATAGTAACGTGTATTTTAGGCATTTGTTAGAGCATTATATTATCGTAACACTTACTTTCCATTAATTAAGAAACGTCATTTCTATCACGGACGTGGTTTTGAGAAACGCTTGATATTACATACTGGGCTGTAGTACCTTACAAGAGGTATAAAAAGATTCGAATGATAATGATCTAACGATATGGTTTGATGAGATCTATAGTAATGGTAAGATTACCGGTTTCCGCTTACCATCAGCACCTTTTATTTAGTTATAAAAATCTTGGCATTTGTAAAATTATGTTTTAATCTTGCGGGCGGTTACTGTACTTTACATGTACAAATAGAGCCACCTGGCTTTGAGGACTTGAATGCCAAGTGCCTGCGGTAAAAGGACTGAATAATCTACATTATTTTGAAGCGTATGCTAACTAATTCAGCAGCTGCATATTATAATTATAATAATAACCGAATAACAAATACACGCCGGTGCATATTAAGCACACGTTAGATACACTAGTGGAATACGAACATAGCGTCGTGTACACATTTGTTTCTATGACAGAATAACAAAATTAAGTCCTCAAAAAATGGAGGCGGATACGCCTGTACGCAGTTCCTTATAAGTAACAAAGAAGCACGTTCGCTTATGCATCATCTATTACCACGACAAAATCTGGATAGCTCACCATTCCTGTTGAAATTTTCTAATTGGATTCCTTCTGAGCAGTAAACAAGAAAAATTCACCAACCAAATACGATCAAACAAACTGATGGAAGCCTTCAAAACAACAAACAAATTTCTGGTCTCAGATCAATTCAGTCTGATCTGACGCGCAAGTTTTGTAGACGGCGTCTTTAGTTATCAGTGTCGTGCGCCACTTAGAAGCGGTACAGAGTGTCTTTGACAAAATAGATTATTTTTCTTTAACCATCGCTCACCAATCTCTCAATTATAGTAATATCTTACGTCAAACATTTAGGGCGATCTCATTTGACGGTTCCCATGTATCTCGATAGAGGGGATCAATACTTTCGAATGTCTCTTCATGAGCTGGTAGATGCGTTTACTCAACTGCGGCGTTGTCGACGTACTTCATGCGATCCCGGAGGAACCACGGGAAGCAACACAAAAATATCTGTAATCAGATTATGGCAAATCATGTCATATCTATTATAGACGCACGGTTCCCGTTACGTATAATTTAGTAAAGAAAATAAACCGCAGGTAAAGTTTGTGACGCAATTATTGCAGTCCTTAATTAACAGTATAGCTACACATCTGAATATTTGTTTGTCATCTAGTTCTAGAAGTAATGACGCCAGCATAAAAAGCAATACCTAATATTCTTCTGAATTATACATTTATATAAACGAGAGTAACTGGCTACTGGAGTTTTAACATACAATTAAACACACGCAAGACCAATCAATGAGAAAGTGTATATAATAGGTAAACAGAAGTCGTTACCTCCGAGACGCTCATGCGATCCTCTAACTCATCATCGAGCAGGAAATTGCCACTGGATGCCATTTCGCGGTTTTCATCGATGAACTCATGAATGATACTTTTCGTTTTGTTTAAGTTAGCATCGGACACTTCCTTGATTGTGTCAAAGGCGTCAATAATCACCGCGTACAGAAGGTTGATCACAACACAAATGAAGAGAGTAACAAAAGAATAAAAATAGATCCTCAAAAACCACCAAATCATTGGAGGAATACCATGTTCCGAGTACTCGTTAGTTGCTAAAGCGAACGTTGCGAATATATCGTCACCGTTTGTGATTGCATAGAGGCATTCGAGTGATGTCGAGAATTTTCTGAACTTTATGTGGTGCGGCCCGAGAACGACCCATCCGCAGATGCTGTAGCCCATGAACAAGATGAGTGCGCAGATAAGGAACTTCAGAAGATTTGGGGCGGCTTTTTTTAACGTAAGCATCAACACATTGTAATGACGGAAATAGCCGAGATAACGAAGTACGCCACACCACACAAACAACAAGCCCGTGCCCAGTAGCACCGAAGCCCAAAGATATCGTTGTTGAGACAACAGGCTCATCTCGTTTGACATTTTAATTACAGTGCCAGAAATGACCAGAATATCGTTCAACATGATGAGGCAAAGCCAAAGATCAACGAATTCGAATTTGTCGCTACAGCATAGGTCTACTTGTCGATGTGTCTTAAAGTACTCGACGGTCTTGCCCAATAATGAGTAGCACCGGTAGATGGATCGTGAACAAAGGATTAATGAAATTAGACAGATAGCAATAACAGCAACGTTATATATTTGACGTGCGGTCTGAGCCGCTACTTGCGGCCTTTTGCTTTCCCTAGAGTCTGCGGCGCTTGTCACGTTCAACTTTACCTAAAACACAGTAAATCAAACAAAAAACGGGCTAAAATATTGACTGTACAAAACCAGTTACATCGAAGCTTCCATGCATACTTCGCTAATAACAAGAGCCTATTTATATACATAGAACATTATACACTGTTCTTTTCGGTTTATTTGCATACTTCATTTACTTTACTAAGGTACAATAATAGTGATAATAGTATATGGTTTTATACACTAGTTTAACAGTTCAAAAACGGGCTCATACTTCGAAACTTGACTGCCTTTAGATGTTGTCGAGTTTGCAACATAGGATTTCAATATAAAGACACATCTTAATCGCTACTGAGAATTTTTATTGGACGCTATTTATATAATTGGTGAGGCAATGTTACAACCCGTAGGCTTGAGAGTATAAAGCAAAGGTTTGCAACGGTTTAGCGTCCACCTGCAGCGCGGACGAAGGAAACTCATTGCCTGCACGCAAAAACGTGCAGGAATTCTACGTACCAGACAACTGAAATTCCGCCGACGCTTTAAACACGGTGAATAAATATGCTGTGTAAGTGTGAAATGAAAAATAACAAAAGATGCAGTACTAAAATATAACGCAATCAATCAGTGTAGGCTCGTGCTTTCTTCGCATCCAAGATCTATTTATCAGAATAAATAGATCCTATCGTTGTCCGGAAAACTGAAAGAATACTGACCGGATAGCTTAGTGAGTAGCGTAACTGTTGGCTGGTCTTAGGTCTAAGCTCAAACCAGTGCTGAAAGCCAGCCATCTGATGGAATGCCTAACGACGATACCGGACGTAGAACTCAAAACATGGAGGGTGAGGTCAAAAACATTCGCTGAATTGATATTTTGCCCATCTTATTAAATCGGATTGCGTCTTATGCGACAGTCATCCAAATGAAAGCCGTTTTATTAAGAGCTCATGATACCCAGTACCATATCATACTAGCTACGTACATGTCTAGTGAGCATATAATAATAAAATTTACCAACCTCAATAACTCCATCTTGATGATTATTATCGTAGACAATACTAAATTCCATCTGGTAAACAACGACTGAATTGATTACAGAACTTTGACGCCGGTATACAGTGGACACGGCGAAATCCAAGCGAGCCATAATTACCCTAAATACATGGAAAAAGTAGACATATAGTAACCGATGAGGTCTAAATTTAAAATCCTCACGGCCAATGGTACGAATGAATGTAAATTTGTCGCGGTGTTCAAGATAAGTAAGCTAGAGACTGCTAGCTTACTTTGTTATTTATTCGTATTTATTTGTAACATCACCTTGGCATGCTTTTTTCTGAGGGTGAAGACCAAAGTGTTAGTGGATTGTTATCGAGTTGGCAGATAAACGAGAACTGGACTTGAAAAAACGCAGACTTATATTTATTATGGATATTTAATTTCTACAATAAGACTTGAGAATAATCGGTAGTTATATTCAAAGTTTTTGCAAGCTTATACAGTACCAAAGAGAAATAGAAATACAAAGCTCATGTTGACGAACAATAAGAAATCATACTTCTCTGACTCAATGGTGAATCCTTACCGTTGAAGATCCAACGTAATTTTGGTATTATTCAGAAACCTCACGATGGAGAAGTTCGCGTAATTCTCTTGGCTTAGCTCTAGGCATTGGTATAGTATCTTAAAGAAACAGAAATTAATTAAATTTTGTAATGAACAGGCAAATGCGTAAATTATTACTTCCGCAACTAAACTAGTTTTTTACCGCTTACGTTTTTTTTCTATAACTTTTATCAATAATATTTTCCTTTACCCCAGTTTAAAGCAGATTTAAAAAGACGTGTTATAGAGAAATCACCGAACGGCTTGCAGCCTTGTCACGCACGTTAAAAACGCATGTGTCACTTTAGACATGGGTCTAATGAGCTTTCTGCGAACTATTGTTGCCCGCTAAACCTATTCGATGAATGTAATCTAGGCTCTGTTTAGCACTATTCGGTGATCAACATTAGAGTTTGCGTACCTTATTATTGTACCTTACTGTCGCATTGAATGCATACATGTGAACATCATTGTAATAGGTAAGACACAGTCGCGGCGGCACTCTAGTGCCATTCAACATTTTATAGCGAAACGATCCTACAAGAATGAATTGGCAAACAAAGAACACAACAGGCAAATTTAGTTACAGTCAGTACTTCTATGCAGGATGAAGAATTAACTAAGGAACTCGTTAAACGTCGCCAACAACAACATCGGTAACGTTGCCAATATAAAGCAAAGAGAACCAATTCAATAGAAAGCAAACATTGTTAGTTATTTCTGAGTCTTTGTTCCAGAATCGTCGCTCTAAATGTGTAGAAATCTCATAAAATAGAATCAGGAAAGATTCGGCTGATCTTTTTCTAAAGAAAGTATACTTTGCTGAACAAATAAACAGCCTGGTACTTGATTAATTTCTAGTAATCTATTTGTTCTATTGAAGACTCAAGACGTTCACCAATCGGGTCCTCGGTAATTCTGCTGTATTTCTGAACCGCTGTGTCTATTTGGTCAAACAGTTCCGCCTCAGTGTAAACCGCGTATGGTCCATCCGGCGGATAAAAGTAAACATCTCGGATCGGGTCCCAGTCCTTTAGGAAATATGCCTGCAAACCAAAAGAAAATTATTAATTATCCATATATACAATAAGCTATTTTAAAAAAGCCATCAAATAGGGGCACATATGACATACATTCAACCTAATTTTTTTGACGTAAAAATTCGATTAACATAGAACCCTGCATCGTTATAAGTTAGCGCCGCCCCAGCAAAAGTAATCCAAGGCCTGTAAGGCCTCATTCAGAACCTGAAAACTCGTAATTAGAATTGTAGATGGTACGTTTATGGACGTTGCTTGTTGTCTATTGGCCTAAAGTATGCCTGTTAAATGATCATATGAAACCACTCAATTTATTAATTTAGTACAGCGTAAAGTGTCAACAACACTGCAGAATAATCTGACTTATTGATGTTATTGGCATTCATGTTTACCTTTAGAGCCGTCTCCGTAGCCATTTGCTCGCTGTAGAATTGCGAGCAGTCGAAACCAAATAGCAGAATTTGGGTTGTGACAGTAAATATTTTAATGATCTGAAAGATCATCTTCCAGGGAAATACTTTGCGATACTGCCACTTTTCTAATGGACTCATAAAATGGTAGCGGAGTTTTTCCTACAAGCGGTAAAAAGTGATGCCATATACACACATATTAGCATTAGTTCTATTATTATAGTTAGGTTATTATTAGGTTAGGGTAGGTTGTTCTTTATGTGTTTATTTTTACGCTTTCGAACAAAAGCATTTCTTTCTATTTTATTCTTCATAAATAAACCTTTTGGGTACCTTGCAGCTTTAGCAACAAGCTTATATAATTACTTTATGGCTACTACCATAATTGTCGCACCTACAGATGAGGATTCCTCAACTTATAAAAACCTATTCTCTATGCAGTAGACATATATTTTTCCATTGCACCCAGACGAGTTTCGAAACCAACAGGCTAGCTAGATTTTAATCTACTTAGGCTAACCCTGATATAAAAGCCAAGTTGACGAGGATTCTGTAGTAGTTGCTCTCGGAAGGCGTCCCCTGAGGAGGCTGGATTACTGCAGCGAGTCGTGTCCGTCGAACTTGATCCATCAAATGAAAGATTGATCGATGAACCACTAAAAATTATGCAATATCGAACGCAGAAAGGGCGACGGATATTTTTGATGAAAGACTGAAAAACATATCCTCTTTCTGATAAAGAACAAAACGAGCTTTTCTATAACTGTAAGCGAGTAGCATGTATTGTGATAATATGCATTTTTTTTTTGCATAAGTGAGGCCTAGATTATAGCGTACGGTAAATATTTGCTTGATTACGCTCGTACTACCAAGCCCACTTAAATGGACTGTCACTTCTCGAAGGTGGTTCACTTGTTTAAACTGTAACCCAAACAACGCTATGGAACGCTTTGGGTCTTGCGGCTGTAGACATAGTCCAAATCACTAGACCGCGGCAACCGTTGGAAGAATGCAATCAGTAACTTTTTTCTTTTGTGTATAATTGTTAGAAAAACCGAAAATAAATTTCGCGCTAGTATAGTATATGTATAAAACCAATTACTAGTCAAATCAAATAAATATAAATAATAATAGATATAACAATAAAATAATGAATTAATAAAAACAATAAAAGATAAATAAAAAACAAAATAGAATAACGATAAAAAAAATATTAAATGCTTTTATGAACTCTCTGTAAAGAATATGTAAGCCACGTATGAAGTAAAAAATGCCACTAATTTACTTTACTTCTAACTGCTCCCCATAAAGAAACAACTTAAAGCATCCAATATAACCAACCATAATATATCCTGCTGCTTGTAGTGTAATTATTATGTGACAAAAATTTAAAAGATTTGGAAAAACTTTCAAATCCTGCTGTCATTTTTATAACAATAATGATAAAAAAATCCCGTAATGCTTTCGTCTTACAATATCATGCCTCAGTTACGCATTTTGCATTAGAAATCTACTAAAGTACAAGCGGTGAAATATTACCAACTTACTGTAGGCAACACTTTAAAAAGCAATGAACTACTTCAAAGCTTTTGAAAACAGATGGCTCAACAATAAAGTTAGACTTATTCTAATTTTCTTGCCTCAGAAAGCTATCTAAAAACCGATTATAACCCTTTGTCCAGAAATGAATGAGTCATTTGAATTTTTGGGGATACTGGATGATCGCTTTTCATCCACAAATGCTAGTTTTGGTAAGAGGAACAGGGCTTTTAGACAAAATTTCATAACATAACTGATGTAATCTATAGTTTTCCCATGAAATTAAGTAAGTTTATGTATGGAGCGCTCTACGACTTTTCCAAAGCAGAGTAACAAGCGTACATTGGTTTTTATATGAAAAGTAAGGTCACCACACAGACGCTGCAGGGATGGAGGTCTATGGAAACCAGGCGCTAAGTAAACCTTGAGTAAACAGGTGGTCAAAGCATTTCGAAGACAGACAAAAGTCTACAGAGGACAATTCTTATTCTGAAAGGTCTGTGACAGCAATCACGAGTGAGAACAAGAGTGCTTCACACTTTTTTCATCGACCCCCGGGAAATCGTTTGTAATGAGTTCATGTCATCGGACTTCACGGTCACCAAAGATTACAATCAAGAAGTTTTAATATAATTCCGCGAGTCTGTTTAACACAAGAGGCCACAACTGTAGCAAAACGAATCATGGGTCCCCTATCACGATAATGCACTGGGTCACACTTTAATACTCATATAGCGGTTTTCGCAAATAGCGCGATGTGTATGTCGCTCCAACTCGCACATTAACCAATCCTAACTCCTATGACTCTTCACATTCCCAAAGCAAAAAAAAAGCTTGAAAGAAAAGCAATTTTGCATAATAGAAAAAAATGAAGAAAAATTTCAGACTGTTCTGAAAGTTATCCACGCAATCGAATTAAGGTATTTTGGAAACTAAGAAGAACTGTCGCATTCGACAAGGATAACTTCGAGTAGGGCAATTTTTGAATTGGGATCATTAAATAAAGAGTTACTAACTTTGAATAAACGACCCATTTATTATTGAGATGACGTTCATATATCTGGCAGGCGTTATCAAACAACATACAAAATCATAATGTACATTTAAAGCCTGTGTGTACTTTCACAGAAATGAGTGCATACATCAGATTCCGCAAAGCGTTTTACGAGTGCAAAAACCTTTTATTTGGCAATATACAACTAACGAATTCTTTTACCTATGCAAGGACACCTATAAACGTGCACAGAGATTATGTTATGCGTGATTTCGATCAAGCTCTGTAAAAATATTCGAGCACAATCGCATGGAATAAAATAAAGCTAATGTTCGTGAAAATTATACGTAACTAACCTCGAATGCCTGAGAAAGTGGTTTCGTAACTGTTCTTGAAACATTATCGGATCACCATCACCTAAGGGTTCCTCCGACATCTCTGATTCTTCATCAACGAGGCATTCGTTTTCATATCTTTGCTGTCCTTCACAGCTGCTGACATTGTCCTGAAGAGGTGTGCGGTCCCCGTTCTCATCTACCATGAAGAAAGAAAACATGTATGCCACGTAAAATAAATTACATTTTACAAAGTGAAGGTTTTAGGAGCAAAATTAGGTTTGACCACAAGCGGGTTTGTGTTCAGTCAATCTGCACCGTTTGTGGTTTCTCATATCAAATGTATTACAGCCGTTATCAAAAAAATATCAAAAAAAGATCTAATCACAATTTGAGCAGAACAATCTTTATGTAACATTTTTATATGCATTACCTACGTTTACGGCTTATTTCCTAAAGGAGATATTTCTTTAACTCTTTCGCTACTGATTTGACACCTGTGACATAGTTTAAAGGGTATAATTTTAAGTAGAGCCTCTAAATAAAAATACTAGAGACGATTATGACCGTTGTTAATTATAAGTGTTAATTCAGCCAACCAGTTAACTTTGCGCGTAGTGCATCATACAATCAACAAACAATAAAAATAGTGCGTGATTTACAGCACCAAAAGACTTAATAGAATAAAAGTCACTGAGGCATTATTAGTAGCGCCATCAAACACACTGTTTTGGCTTTCAAACGAAGAACACTACGTACCGAGAATATTATAGAACACAGACCTCAATCATAACTACACGAGCTCCATACAGCCTAGTAAACAGTTAACGAAAAATACTATTAGAGATACGAACAAATTTAGTAGACGCCATAGAGAATTGACAAAGTTAATTAACGTCTTTGTAAATAAAACCAAATTACTTACAACCGAAAGCTGTGAAAGCCGGAGTCGCCATCCTAATGCAACACAATTACCTACAAGAGACGCAACAATCGTATTATCACTATTAAGCCATTCCAGCCACATATTGCATCACTATATTTAATACAGCCTTGTAGATTTTAGCAAACTCTAGTTATAATTAGAAGTCCCTATAGGCGCACTTTGAACTGAGTTCATTAAACTAGCTTTGAGTTCAATAAATATTCGTCATTTGACTGTCACGCTCTACTGGAAACAATCCGCTATTGATAAAATAAATAAAGATCCACCCTAAGTACAGCATAGCTTTTCCCTGTTATAAACTAAAGGGGCTCAACGAGCAGGCCAACTAACTCAATGCAGGTAGTTATGTATGTAGCTATGTTTGAAGTACCTTGCCTAGTGGTACACGCTTGCTGGCCTATTTACTACAAAAGCACCACCTCCTTTCTTGCATCCAAGCGTCTGTTAGTTTACCGCAGTTAGGAAGAATGACTTGAAAAGATAAATTAGAAAAAGTTCATTCAAACACCCACCCGATTTGACCCGCCCCTAGTAAGAACATTTTAGTTGAGAACGAAATGAGCTTTCCCCAGGAAATAACATCAGTTAAATTAAGAAAAATATTTTATTAGATCTCAAAAAACGTGCGTAGTATTCAGATCGGTAAGCGAAGCGTACCTTAGAAAAACAAGCAAAGAAAAATAGGGCTATAAAGATAAGAACAAGTAAATATCTCGGCCTATATCAAATTCGCCTAATTATTCATAAGTTACGGTAGTAAGCGTTTACATAAGTTTCTGGCTGCACGGAAGGCTGAGCGCACGCTCGACAAAATCATACTTTGACTAGAACATTATATTTCGCACAGAGTTGTCCTGCATCCACTACCGATTAACGTCGATTACTGTTTTAAACAAGTTTATAACATTATGAACTGTAATTTGACCGTACTATAAGAATGAACTATTAGTCGATTAAAAGAAAAAACAGAGTAAAGCTGTATATAGTTATTTTTCAGGTTGCTTCAAGAAATGCTTCTTTGTTACAACTATTTGCTACATTAAGTTCGTCATTAAATGAAAAAACGTTAAGCTAAACAAAGAGATGTGTAATGTTTTTACCGTCAAACTAATGCGTATGATTTATTAAGACTCAAGTCTAAAGCCCAAAAGTCTAAAACTACGAAATTAAATTAATACTTGAACAAACTCGGAAAGCCCATTTGTATGACCGATGATAAAGTTTCAAACTAGAACTTAAGATGATATACATCCAGTCGAAAAGATTCGACGCTGTTCGACCCAAAAATGTCACTTGGGTTTTTTGGCAGGTAGTAACATAGGTAATGATATTATCTGTAATCTATAGTTTTCTATTGTCGGACATTATTATATAAAGGTAGGAACAAAAAAGGTGACAAATTATTCAGAGAAACTTGTTCCCCACGCCGTGAGGCAAACAATCATTTAAAGAGTGATTTTTCAGTTTTATCCTCCAACGTAGATATCGCTTGTGTTGTAAATTATGCTTTAGTCCAATGTATGGCCGTATCAGTTATCTCACGTTATCCCTTCATAAATATACTTGCTTTTCGCTTAACTTAATGATAATGAAACTTATTAAATTGATATGTTTAGCTAATTAATTAACTAATTAATGTGTCCGTTATCTAAAAACACCCCTGCGGTTACATCGAGACAACTACTTCCCATAAACCAGCTCCAAAAAGTCTATAACATGAGAGACGAAAGACAGCCTAAATAAAATACTTATTCTCACTAGCTTTTCATTAATAAAAAGTTCCCCGGGTTTTTTTGATAGAAGATTTCAGAGCGGTAATGATGCCACTAGTCTATAGCATCATACTAGAGCACACATTTCTTTCAAACGAATATGATGAAATATTGCGTAGCGCTACAATGAATCTCACCCTTCGTTGCCAACTACTACCACGTTGCAAATATGATCGCGAATAGTTAAGCTTTTCACTTGAAAGTAATTGCATACTAAATACAGTTTACGCAAAAACGAGGACAATCAATAAATCAGTTGTCTACCTTTTACATTATAATTTGCGTATTTGTTTTTAGCTGTTGTAATGATAAATCCGGTCGTGACAATTTGCAAAAATGCGATTACGTGATAATTGCATTCTCATGACGTCTGTGCCGGGGGGGGTCACTAAGATAATACATTTATTTGATAACATGGTAACCCCTAATGAATACGTGTTTAAATCGGAAGAAAATACGAATTGTAAGTCTAACCAAAAATTGTAATAACATAAATCAGAAAATTATCAAAAATCATAATTTAAATAAATAAAATGGTAGTTTTTTTAAATAGAACAACTTTAAGAACTTCATACATGTTTGTCTAAATCAACTTACGTCGAAGCAACTATATCCTTCAGAAAAAAGTTGCTGTGCACGTACGCGCCGCGCAGCTTAACCAATAACTCGTAACTGGAATTCTAGCATTTATTTTGCCTGAGTAACGTGGATTTTCTTGCGTGTTTAAAAGATCTACAGCATATATGGGACCGCCCATAAAGAACTTTGGAACATCCTCACTCACTCGGACACATCCACAAACTTTCTGGTGCCCTAATCTACCTAATTCTTTTTATATAGGTTTCTACTTGTCCCGTGATTTTGCGTTCTTATTCTTCTTTATTAAAACGATACAATTTCGAAAAGTGTTCTTCAGCGTCGCATGTATCTAGTTCAATAGCACTTCGCTTTACTTGGATTCAAACAAGACACTTTCCGGTTTAACATGGTCTCTAACCCATTTGCGGTTCTTATTTCAATAAGTAGCGGGGCCATCTGACAGCGCCTCCAGCGATATCAGTGATGAACTCACGTTCTCTGACTCCAACAAAAACAAATCGACTCAAGCGCTCCCTGGTGGATAAAAACCTGGTGCGCACAGCGTAAATAACATTGAGCGCTCATACGTAACCATTCAAGGATTCTACGACGTATGCACTAGAAACACATGTTCACGAACCACACTTAGTACTGTTGATCTATATAATACAAATAGGTAGATAGATAGTAATAGGCGTAAGTAACTCCCTTATACTTAGGAATAGACCAGGTCCTAAATGCAAATAACAAAGAGAAACTAACTATAAAAAATAATTATATACGAAAATTAACTATGTTCTTGCTCTTTACGGTATTCTAAAAATGTTGTTCTCATCATGCTGTAAGTGGTGAGCACTGTGGTGATCTCTTACTAACTTGTTTTTGGAGCATTTAAGGATGTTCGCTTTTTGCACGTGCGCACTAAACTCAAGTAGCATCCTCGTCAGGGGCTTTCCCACCATTGAGAATGGCTACCTGAAATCGAAAAAGATACGTGAAGCTACTTTTCAGGTAAATTATTGCTTATTTGAGACACTATACGTCTTTTCGGGCTGGGTGCATAAGATTCTCGATTCATGCATTCCCCAGATCCTACTAATTGATGACAACTATTTGCTTAAAAATTCAAAGCTTGTAGAATATTAAGTGATCTATTATCAGTCACAATTTGTCTAGAATTAGAGACCTCAATAACACTACAACATTAATAGATTAAAGCAGACAATTGACTTATAATTTTTTTTATATAAATGTGGTATCTAAAGATGTCAAAATACAAAAAATAAAAGTGGGTTCCAAAAACATGAATACAACAGTAACTAACATCACGTTTATTCTTACCATTATACCTTTCAAATTGAGAGAACGCCTGTTTGGTAAGTACGAATCGGCTTATGCTTTCCTGAACACGCTACAACGCAGGTGTAAGGACTTATCATTCTATTACTCATGGAGGCCATGTTTTCAAATTTATCAAATGACATATTAACCTTTTGATGTGTGTGAAAAAAAAAACATTCAAATTGCCCGCGCTCCTTAGTGGAAAGGTTCATTTTTTCAATACTGAACCGAGCAAGATCTATGACGTATCGACTACCATAACAAGCTCTGTATGCGTGCGCAAAGCACAGCTGCAGCGCCTAAGACGAGGAATAATTTGCTCGGATGGTGTCTCTTCGGATATGTGTAATGCATCCATTCTCGGACCGGCTGTGTTTTCGGTCCCCTGCTTTCTCTCAGCTCCCACGTTCAGTCTCACAATAACAGCGTGTGTCAGTTGTGTCGAGTATGCAGGCCGCGCGTGCGGGACATTTCTTTGGAGGTTGTGCTTAATAACGATCTCAGCCGAGGTAAGCAAAATGTCAGCTGTAGCAAGACATCCGTGAATAGAAACAGGCCGAATGGTATATAATGTGTGTGAACAATAGCAAACGCCAGTAGAAATGTTGAATAAACTTTGTCTAGCGTACTTTCCGCAGGTGTCCACGTAACTGAAAGTTCGGTGCTAAAGTTCAGTACGGGTCCGTCACAACCTACGGCATCGCGTGAAGTCAGCAAGGTTGGAGTAAGCTTTGAGTGCCCGCTATGGAAGTGGAAGAGGCGCCCAACCAAGTTGCTGCTGGGGGTGATAGAACTGCTGCCTCTGCCGCCAGTAGTGATGCCGGTGAAGCCGCCAGCGTCATGGCAGGAGCTGCGGTTCAGCCCAGCGTCAACGTACAGCTGCATCCTTTGGTTATTATGAATGTTGCTGAACATTGGACTCGGATCCGAGCGCAAAATGGAGGAAGAGCTGAACAGGTTAGTTATCACAAAATGGTGAACAGGTATCAAAACTCATGGCAGCATCTATCATCCAGTTTTCCAGTAAATGAAAAATGTTCAATTGCAGGAGAGTGAGGAATCTGAGACGAGGTTAGAGGTCACAAAATTTTTGCATATGTATATATAATTGTCCACTGTCGAAGACTACTACGGCATATTGTAGTAAACTGCACATGTATACAGGGTGCGGAAGCTAAGTTGGCATAGGTGTTGGCGAAATATTTGTTATGACGAGCATGCACTTATCCGCCATTCTTCGTATTAGATAAAAGAATGCTCCTTCTAAATCAAAACACTTATTTTGGTGGAAAATAGTACGTCATTTTTGCAATTGGAGCGAAAATTAACTGTTATACAATACAACGAATTCTCCAAGATTAAGAACTTGCTTTTTCGCCCGAAGCCGATGTTCTTGTATTTTCGAGATAGAAACTACCAACGGTTTTGGAGAACGAAATATGAATTATCAATTAAGTTGTCTTTCTAAACTACTATAGTTATGGAAGTCTTTTTAAAAACTTTTTGGTGCAAATTTGCTGTGCCGTGAAATTTTTGGGAGTTTTAGCCTACTATCAGCCCAAAATATAATTACGTTAAAATTATTTGCATGTAGCGTACTTTTGCTACACTTATATCCACTAATATCATTTGGCTCACAATTGCCATTAAGTCTTCGCAGATTAAGGAAAAGATCGAAGAGCCATATAAGTGGGTCAGGCTCCGAATCGTGGTGAATGGAGGTTATATTGAAAAACGTGGCCGTCAAGAATAAGTCTTCTAACACATGTAAAAGAATTAATGAAACACCTATATGATTTACATACTGCTTTCGAAATACAACATAGTAAGCCCAATCTATATATATATATATATATATATATATATATATATATATATATGCAATTTACTAAACTATTCTCTTCGTATTTTGGGCTATGATTGATGCGTCAAAGTTCTCTTATAAATCTGCATGTGTCATTCATGTTACTGATTTCTGGTAGTTTGTTGTGAATCACTTGTTTATTTGACAACGCCATTTGTCTCTATTCTAGGTTGTTGGAGCTCTGCTAGGCAAGCAGGAAGGTAGAGCACTCGAAGTGTCAAACTCGTTTGAACTTGTATGCGAAAAAGACAGCGATGGTATGGTCACTATTAAACCTGAATTTCTCGAAAATCAACAAAAACAGTTTAAGCAGGTCAGTCTATACTTAAGGTGTACCCATTTATGACACTGTGATTGACTATGTATGTGTATTATGCTGAATAATATGTCCCTGCGTTTTTTATAAAAACTTTTTCCCCCACTTTCTCTAACTAGTTGTTTAACTCTGATATATCGAAAATACTTCTGCTCTATCAGCGTGTTGTAACCGTATTGTGTTGTGAGTGTAATTTCGACTCGAAGGAGCTCCTCAAAGTTATAATTTATATATATATACCGTAATAGCTTACCGCTCCAGGAAAAAAATGTGCTGTTTTCTATTTAGTAAAGAACGGCTGAACATATTATTCATCCTAATAAAATGTGTGACTATATTTCGATAAATTCATATATTTCCAGTAGTTATTAGATATAAATATCAGATTAAGTTTAAAAAAAAAAGGGAATATCCGTGACACCTACTCATGCCTCGGCATTAATCTACAAACTAAGCCCTCATTGGTGAGATTTGCCGTTATACAAAAGGTAGGCAAAATATGACTCAGTTTCCATAAATTTTCATTGCATGTTATCCGTATGTATTAGTAAACTATCAAGACAATTTTTTACTTTTACAATGACTACTTCAATGATATCACATCTGCTAGTATATCGAATACCTCGCAGTATGTGGCCCTATTTATTTTAGATTAATTTAAAACATACTTTGTCAACCCACGTTGCTACAAAGCGCAAGTGGAATCGATGCATTTGTACTGGAAATATCTAATATTCTCTGGTTTAACATGATGATCAAGATGACAATCACAAAAAGTTAAAAAATAGGGCGCACTAGTTGAATAGTCAATAAATTTAAGGGGCACTTAAAGACGTAAAAAGAAGGAAGAAAAGAAGGAAGGGTAAAATCGGGAATAGAGGTTTATCCACTGATATACAAATAAAATATTTGATAATTGAAATCTTAGAAATTTGAGATATTGAGGCAATCATAGAATAAGCTCCAAACTATAAGAAACTGATTTCCCTAGACCTAGCCGTAGTAACTGGAAAATCCGAAAAGAAAAATGTGACCTATGCCGATGTCGCAAAGGTTAGGCCGACAGAGCATAATGACAAGAACTGAAACAAGAACAGATTTTGATGAAGTGATTGATCAACTAGGAAATAGAGGCGAGGTAAGAAGCCACTGGTAAGAAAGGATAGTTTTGGAAATAGCTGGTAGGTTTTTACTATGTGAAAATTAGTATTGCCTTATTTCTCGGCCATAGCATCCATGCTAGAACATTGCAGACGTACGCGGAACAAACAAGGATAAGTAGACAAAATTTATCAAATATTAGTCGCAAGTAATAGTTTTGGTAGCGATGCAGATGCTACTGTTGCCTATGAACTATTGAAAAACTAATGTAGGACAAAAACAAAATATACCTACGGCTGTCTCATGGCTAGAGTCTTTAGAAAGCATATATGGGAGATCAAACGGCCGCGATTGTTAACTTCAGGCGTTTGTGAATAGGCTACGCTGCTGGAGTAAAAAATAACGAGTGTTTCTTCAATGTTTTCGTCTGAGCAGGTATTTCAGGATCTAGAACTTTTGGGCTGGTATACAACGGGCGGGGAGCCAACACCCGCAGATGTTCGCGTTCATCGGCAACTATGTGAATTTAACGATGGATCCGTTTTACTAAAACTTGATCCTTTGCTGGCAACACGTCGTTCCGGCCAACTACCTGTTTCGATGTTTGAGTCTGTAATTGATATGGTTAACCAGGTGAGAAGTAACAGTACGTAAATATATCAGTGTAGAGATGAATGCAATAGCACTTTAACAGCGGCAATACGCGCTGTATGGTCAACCCTTGCGAAGGCACAACTTTTGATTTAAGGCTTTATTTGAATCACCTATAATTTTCCATGGTAATGAGCATAAACTAAGTCACAAAATCGGCATAGTACGGTCACGTTTGCTGGACATAAGTCTCATTACATGTCACTTCAACCACCTTTAATTTTTAAAAATTAAGTTGGTCTCCACCATGCCAAGTAGCTCTCAACACTCCTGCTACTATAAAATTTCAGTTAGTATTATAAATCTATACAAAATCACATCATAATTATTAGTTATCGACTTCATAATCCTCCGTTGTTGGTACTTTGAAATATCATCTAAATCACAACAGCTTAGCGATTTGTTTTTGTTAAGACCTAAAACATCCCAAGTGTACGTTGCATGTAAACCAGCGATTGGTGAGTAAAAAATTAGACTATAATAACAGACTATGACAGACTGGTATCAGGCTAGGTAGGTAAAATAGAGGTGACAAAATACATAACATTCATACATATCTTTGCCAGACAATGTTTCTCTATGTACGGTTGTTATTTTATACAAAAACGTTTATTCAAGAGCACTCATCACAATAGTTAAACGCATGTTTCTTTTCATTTAATTAGTTACTTCCTGGGAAGCTGGCGACCGCTAAGCTTCCCTCACTGGCTCAAAACCGGTTGTAGACATGCTGTCCGCTGTTTTAAGAAAGGATTATATCTCGCACAGAAAAGGGTAGCCCATTACAATTTTTACTGTTGTTTTCCATGCGTGTAATATCTTACAATTTGCGTCTCTATTATGACGACGCCTTCAATAATTACTATTCACATTGCATTCGTGCGGCTTTAATGAAAAATATTAGGGTTTCTTTTTCATTGAGGGCGTAACACAGATATGGTAATTTGGAGATATACTGGGGGAGATAAAACAAAACAGTGAATAGGTTACTACGTATTGAATTGTATATAAGGCCTATGAGGTCGATAGATGTGACTGATGAGAAATAGTGGTCTAGCAATCGTTATCTCTTAGATGTCTTTCTGCCACTGAGACAGCATATAGACGAAATAATGTTCATCAAAAAACTGTTTACATTTCTTCGAACGTAATTGCAGCCTTACATCGCATGAAACTATGTGGTTCAGTTATTTCAGCGACAACTCTCAGAGGCCAGATGGTCTCACGCGCAGGTACATTTCGATATTAGCGTTCACTAACATAAAAACAATGGAAATTAGGTTTCATCGCATGCTTGACTCGAAAGATAACTTGGAGTATGAGTGTTACATTTGCTTTGTTTTTTAGGAGCCAACTATGTTATTTGTACCACTTCCATGCTCACTCGTTACGGAAGAGGCGGAACGAATTGGGCTAGATAATATGGCCCGGGTATCGATAGCGGAGAGTGGTGAGGGTTCGCTGGCCTCACAACATCTTCGGACACAACACAGTGCTATAAAGATGCTCTACGAACGTGTAAAGGTTAGTTTAATGCTCGTTGTCATTCATTCGCAATGTAACTTACGTGCTGTTATGAAAATGGCAGTTTGCTGGGGCGCGCGAGAAAAGCAAGTCGTGATGGATTTGATTTGTGCATAAGTGACAGTCGTGAAAGAAGTAATGAAAGAGTGCGAAAACATAAACAAGGATTAAAAAGGCTAGACCAAACTATTTTTCCTCCAAAATTTTCGTATCTCGGTAGCTCAATGGCAAAATAATCATTTCTGGGCGCTCCTGTTCGGCACTAGTGGCAAACGTTCACGTTTGTAGCTGAAGCGTTGGTCAAACTCAAAATATCTAATTCGCCCTGTAATTGCATTCTCTTTGTCTTGCAGATAATTCAGGCGTACGTCAAAGCAGTAGAGCGAAGGGAACTGGTGCCTAATTGGGTGATCCTCCGCGAAGTCTTCAATCTTTGTCGGCAGTTACCGGTTGTTGAAAGCCCGCACTTCCGGGAAGAGTATTTCAACCAATGTAACGATGTCGCGCTTCAGACGTTCCTTGGAACGCTAACAAAATGCTGCGACACAATTAATGTTTACCTGAATAGATTCAACGTACTGTATGAACGGCAAAGTGGAAGTAGACGTAGCAAAAGAATGTACTTCTAAACGAGGGGATGAAGGGCACGACTGAAGAATAATGCTAAAGAAAATTGAGTGAGTCGAGGTGAAGAATTGTGAAGAAAGGGGCATGCAAGTTAAGGGAGAAATGTTATATTTATATATTATAATAGCTTTATGTGATGTAGGCGGTCCCGTTATAGATATGCTGTACAATATTCGTCGCGCGACTATTAGAGCGATTATTACTTCATGCAGCATGGAACCAAGATAATTTTTTTTCCATTATTTCTACGAGCGAGGCCAATGTTGATAAATAAACGATAACATTATATTAATTTTACATGGAATAACATGTGGTTTCTTAGGTATCTAGTAATACTTGACGTTTATTGTCACTATATATGTCAAGGTACATAGTAAGATAATCTCGTACAAACAAAAACTGCCTGAACACCTGTAATTTGCAGTTACTTTTGTCATTCTTTTAAGAACCTTTCTCGCTCTCAAAGCCTTATCAGAGATTTTATTTCGAAGTTAATTTCAAGTTTCCCATGTATGAATCGACCTAAATTATTTCTCTAATTAAATCGGTGTACAAAAGCGAATTTGTTTAAAGAAGAGGAAAACGAACAGATTAGTTGGAAGCGCACATAGCGATTAGAACCTAAGCAAACAACTTACATTGTAGCGTTTTGTATCTTGTCATCTTGTTATTCGTGTCCATCATTAGTCCAGTAGAACAGCTTTACTACAACGGTAGTAGGTCAGATTACAGGTTGTTATAGCCTAGTAATCGTGGATGTACGTATCTGTTGTAGATTTGTTAAAAGAAAATTAAGTTGTAGTTGCTAATATAGGCATGCATATTATTCATTTGGTATATTTACTTACTTTGCTTTGCTTTATCAATTTTAATTAACCCAACTATTAAATTAACTACTGTTCTGACAGGATAAGTAAAAATCCGTAACCAGGGAAAACAAAATATCATTGTAAATCTGTTTAAGATGACAGCTCCTTGTATCCAAAATCTGCGCGTTACAATTCGAAGCATTTAGTAGAAAAATGCATACTCAAAGATGTCTAATTAATTATAATGCTGCAGATTACATTTAAAAGAAAATAGAAAATATATACATATTGTGCTGTTACGGGTAGACTCTGATATTGAATAGCTTTTGACGTACGCGTTGCTAGCAGATACTTTGGTTGTAAATACTCCAGTCTTCTAGGAACTTGAATGAACACCGGTTGAGTTCATCCAAAGATAACAAGGGTAAAAGAAATCTTTTCGAAAATCAACGCCCAGTGGTCAAGTTTTTTTCCTTGAAGGCTACGGCGCTGCAAAAAGTTATCAAATATATTAGATCAGGAAGCCTCAAGCGAAAGCACAGTACGTGAATAACGCGAACATTTCAAAAACGGAGGCTGGAGTATTGAAGACCAGCGAGCAGGCGACCAGATGCAGGGACCCGAAGTACAAGATTACCGCATTTGGGGAGGCTTTTCCTAGGGCAACGCTTGGAAGGGCTCTATTGGCCATGGCATCTCAGATGTTGCGTATTACAGGTTTATAATCCAAATACAGAAAATGCGGATATTCAGTAAAAATGAGTCCTCTATGCCTTATCTTCAGGTCCTCAAGAGATACACGGACCCTTAGCGTGGCAATCGAAAGCATGCGGTCTGGTTACCAGACTTGATAGCCAGGACCGAGCAGAAGAGTGTCTAATGATAGACTCACCCCGGTTATTTTTGTGCTATAAGTTTATGTGGTTACGGGACTTTCCATAACCTAAAAAGCATTAGCTCATAAATATATTTCACTGTCTATTCGCTCAAAAAGCTATCGGTAAAGAAATAACATAAGAGGATGCAAATGATGAGTATATGGCTGTCTAGAGCACTGGGATAAAAAAATACGGTAGAAAAAATTTAACACATACTAAATAATCATCATTCTAGATCAATTACTATTAAATGTATTTAATTTATTCAAAGTCCGCTGGATTCGCTTATAACAGCCTAATTTATTGGGTTGTCGAAAAACTATTGGCCGTTTTTCTAGCTGGATATCTTCGAAGCTACATATCTCAGGTAGTATAGGTCGCGTTGGGTTGGCAGTGTAATTTGAAAGCCGATATCTTCGTAGGGTTATATGTGTCTAGTGTTGAGATGCCTTTATTCATCAAACTCAAAGTACAGGACCTTGAAAATGAATAATGGGATTTCTAAAAAGAAATGCTATGTTACAATTTTGTTAGCGCAAATTGTGCCCAAGCTCATAAAAATGTCTGTTTTTTATGGTCAAAATGCGTTAGTGGAAAAACGAAAAAAATTTAAAGATGGCATTTTTGCGTTCGTTCCAAAAATTTTAACGTGAAGGATGCTTCTGACAGTAGTCGAACAATTACAGAAAAAGTTAATGAAATATTTAGAAAAACTAAGCGATAAAGAAAGTAGCCGTGATATCACCAAACTAGAAATGAACCACCGTACAGTTTTAACTCGTCTGAAAAAGCTAGCTACGCAGCTCATCTTTTAAGTGCCAGATAAATTCATGCGAGAGAATCCACTTAATCATTTCGACCTGTGAAACTCTACAGAAACGACAGGAAAACCGAGCTATTGTTAAAACGATTCATTACAAGTGAAACAAGGTGGACCATATACGACAATACTATGCAAATAAAAAGTTTGACAAAATTACCTCTATAATCTGTGACAAAGCCTACACTGACGCCCAAAAAAGTGTTTGGTACGATTAGAAAGGAATCGTGCAATAAGGGTTGCTGCCGCTTGGCAAAATGATTGACTCAGACTGCTACTGTCAACAATTGACAAGATTAAAACAAGCTATTGAAAAAGTCGACCGGAACTAGTAAATAGTAAAGCGTCATTCTGCACCATGTTTATGCCAGACCGCAGACATTATAGGTATTAGGTAAAAATGAGTAAATTGGGATGGACATTTTCTACGCATCCGCTGTATAGCCTAGAGCAGAGGGTCATCTGTTTCAGTCTCTGCAGAACTTCGTGTTTATTTAGTTCCAATGAAACAATGTAAAAACAACTCATTAGAATTTTTCGCTTAGAAACTAAAGAAAATTTATCAAGAGCCGATGCGCTTCTCTTCTGCTTCCGAGCTTAAGTTAGTAGTACTGACTTTGCAGTAGTGAGTAGTGTGTCGAAATACGTAACATTATTCTGACAGTCCGCTAAAAATTGTATTCTTTCTAGCACCTCATCCGCAATAATTACCTCAGATGCTCTAAAAATATCGGCTTGATAAGCGAATTCGAGCCATGTTTTAGCTCTATCGTTTGTAAATAGGCAAACATTTCAAACCTGAGTTGGACTAATACACTACTGTACGCAAGATTGAGTTTTCAAGCTGAGGCATATTAATTAGCTAAGCTTAATCTAAAGGTTTTATAGCTATTGATTGTATCCGTCTGCTTATGCCGTATCAGCGCTGGTTGTAGCTGTAGCAGTGCTAAATTATTTATTTTAACATAACGATAAGTCTTCATTTAGAATTCTATCCATACGTTTCTTACTCATATAGATTGTTTGACTGTTCTTTGTTAGCGTTGTATATAAATCTTAGCATACACATGGCCTGTTCTTGGTGAGTGTCAATATGTAACCGCCTCTTAAACTCTGCTCCTGTTTTTTCTTCCCCCAAGCCCGCTCTTCTGTCGCCCTGGCATGGACCCTCTTCTGATCTACGTCGCTCGCTCACCGCTCGCATACATTCAACCAGACTGGGGGCCCAGGTCCCTGGCACTGGAAAGAAAGTCTCAGACAAGCCTTCGTTTGAGCATAGGCAGAGCCTTTCCTTTCGCTCCACTATCGAGCGGGTTCTCTCAAGCTTTGCTCCGGCTCTTCTACCTCTTACCTCCCAGGCAAGTGCGCAGGGCGTACACATCCAACGAACGGCGGCAGCAGGAGGCTCTTAGAGGCTGCGGCCACTGCCTGCTTGCATGTGCCAACACTACCACCCACGCAGTCAGTCAGTCACATTTGCTCTCACTCAGACGCAGCATTCGTTCTGTCTGAGTAACACTAGCCGACCCACGATGTTCTACCCCTTAGGGTTAAGTATCCAAGGCCGAGGAAGGAACCAAACTAGTAAAGATAGAACTAAGCGCGGTCCCATAATTTGAAAATTCTCAGAAGACGTACGATTAGTTAAGCTACCGGCTTATCGTCAAGTGTATCCTCGCTGCTGGTTTCAGTACCCTGTAGGTTCTCCAACTAAATTACGTGAAGCATAGAAACACTACTGAAGTGTACTGGAAGCTAAGGAAGTAGCGGATTAAAGCACAACCAAGCAAAATACAGCAGCAGGAAACGTAGTTAATGCTAGTTATTATCGGCCTGTAGTGTTATCACTATGATATTCAAGAGTACTCCAGCATATCCAAATAGACGACTTAATCAAGTAAAGGCAGTGACATTGAGGTTTTCCCCGGGCAAATCCTCAGCCGCAACACCTAACTCCGTGATACTGTGTGTTTATTGTTAACAAAAACAAAACTAAATAGCTTTAAAAACGAGAGGAACGACCCAAAACAAAAAAAAAGAAGTTTACCACGAGGAAAAACAAGGCTTCTCACGACCGAAGTTGCAGGAAACATAGTGAAATAATTGACTATTGCTCATCAATGTGCCTACGGTTATTTCTATATGTTTATTACGCGTGCACTACCGGTCGCCCAAACCATTCGGACACTGTTTCCAGACGCCTGCTACCACTGCGCGCCGTTCGGCAGATTTCCTGCGAAAGTTCGTTATGCCACTCACTGCAACGCTGTGGAAGTGGACGTTAGTGAAATAATAGAAAGAAAAAATAGGGTTAGCCACATTGAAGCGACGCCCTCCGAGAGTTAACTGTGCATCGACAGCTGCTACAGTACCTAGAATTCCCACTAGTAGTGTTGCTCACGCCGTGTTCTCGGAAAGCGTATAGACCTAAAATGACAAATAATCAATTGCCTATTATGCCGTGCATCAGCTTTCACCTAGTTTAGTTGCGTTCGACAATCGTCGAACGAGCACACAGATTCACTGTACAAGAATACGTACAGCCGTTTTCGACCGATTCTCGTTGACCAGTAGAGTGCCTAGGCGCTACGAATACACCACTGCTCAAACATTAGTCCCAATACATCGATGGGCCCTGTCGAGGGTCAAAGGTACAGTTGCGCCGGACCTCACAAACATTGCGGTGACGGAGTAGATAATATGGTATCCGATACCACTATACGAGACACAAAATTCGAAGAAAAAGAATAAGACGACGAGGAAAAGTTTTTAACGACAATAATGTGCACAACAGACAAAAAGGGAAACCAAAGAAACATCGAAAATGCAACACGAACGCCTTCGCCCCAGCTGTCACCGCCATCGCTAGCAGGCTTAAAGTACAACTTTCACAATTCGATCTGGCTAAATGCGTTGCTGCAACAATACGCGACAACATTATTAAGACGACAACAACACCATCATGGACGACTATCACATCAAAATCAGCAAAGATCCGAACGAGCGAAGTTTCAGCAAGAAAACGATCAACAAGATCCGCAACGACAATTAATCATTGTAACCACGACACGACACAGCCTCCAACAACTTCAGGACGGGCAGCAGCAGCATCAGCCTTGGCACTCACAACTAAACTCAGAGGAAAAGCAACGACAACAACAACAACAACGACTGCTGCTGGAAGAAGTTCGTCAGTTTCCACTCAGCATTGCTTGTCCAGCAACAGGACAAAGAAGAACTGCAACTGCAGTAATATCAACAATGATTTTTCTAACAGAAACAATACTACGACAGCAACGACACTTGTCACTAACTGCTAAAACCAGAAGCATGAACAAGGCCCCTCGCCGTATTTCAGCTTCGATTTCAGCAGCAGCGGTCTTCGATTACGATACTTCGATCGAAAGCACCACAGCTATAGCAGGTTTTCAAGTTGCTCCAATCGCTTCAAATTTAACAGGTAGTTGCGTAGTTTTCGATAGCTCCAATGATGTCCATTGCCTCCAAGAGGAATGTACCAGGAATACAGCTGCAAATAGTATAACTGTTAGAAGCACAGGTAGCCCGAACAATGCTTTTACCACCGCTCCAGCTACTAAAATCGGTACCAATTACACTGCAGGGTTTGGTACAATGGCGATTTTTTTTCCTGTAGGGTCAAAAGCTAATGCAGATATGATTCTTCCAATTTCAATAGCAACATTTACTCGTACCAATGGAACGATTTTAACAGAGAAAACAGCCAGCAAGCGTAATTCAACTACAAGCGATAGTCATCGCACTGCGCTGAATCAAACCAGCTCGGCTGCACGCGAAGCTCGGCCTGCCGCCATCATCGTTCGTGGTGACATGGCCTGCATCGCCGTCGTCGATCAGGCAGCGGCGAAGAGCGTTGACGCTGGCACGTCCTTTCGGGAATCACCCGCCCGATTGTCGTTCTCCGGCCACTTTTGCCGTCAAGATAATTACGGAAACGATGCAATAACAACAATAAAAACAACAGCAGCAACAGCAAGAACGACAACGACAGCCACTGCAATATCACAGGTTTTCAAAATTGAAATTTCAGCATGCAACAACCCGCTCGGGTACGAACCAATTTTAAGTGATTTCTCAACAGCTAACCACCTAGAGCTAGCCCGAGATCGAGAAAGTAGAAAGATATCGTGCACGAGCGCTCAGCAGTCACGACCGCGTAGGATGTCAATATCCACGCCCACGATTACGTGGACGCTGCTAATGTCGTGGTTGACTTTGGGTCTCGTGGGGCTCGTTCCGGACGGAATCGGCCTGGGTCTGCCGGGCGCGGCGGCCTCCCGTGAGGCTAAGCGCCTGTTCGACGATCTGCTAAGCGACTACAATCGACTTATTCGGCCTGTGGGCAACAACTCTCACAAAGTGGTCATCACGGTTGGCCTCAAACTGTCACAGCTCATTGACATAGTAAGTGATTTATTTTGCTCGCTTGTTTAATCATATTTATTGTTTCATTAATTTTATTATGCCGTACAACATTGGAATAAGGGTTTTACCTGTGGATCGATTTAGTCCCAGATACCCCGAAATACTAATCAGCTTATAACCTCAAATAGTTCACTATTCAGAAGCTGAAATATGTTAATATTTACTGCCCAACGCCCTTATTGATTGATAGGTCATTGACAATTCACTGATAAGCTATAACTCTTTTTCTTCAAACTATAAAATGACTACTGGTCGTACTATATGATCCGCTACGCCGCTCAAGTTTTTCTTTGACAGCGTCACACATAAAATCCATTTATAGCTTTATTTCGAGCCAAAGTAATGCATAACATTATACATAGGTTTTCGTGAAGGCTTGGCATATTATTGCCGGTTCAGAACTTGTGTCGTTGGGTTTTATATATATATATATCTCAATTTGATCATCCTCACCCCATATCCTAAAATGATTTAACAATAATCCTCGTCGAATTTATCTTTACCTTCGTCTCGTGAGAACCGGTTTGCTGAGACAGGAAATTGAAAAGATCTGTTCGTCCTCCTTAACTTTACTATCTGATCCCCTCTCCCAACCAACCTGCTGTGAGACCTAGAACAACAGAATAGGAAAAAATTCTCAAAGATTTCTCAGGGAAAATCTACCGCATTCAATACGAACCGACATATGCTCCCAGGGAAAAGCAATAGATAACATAAACAGTTGGCAGGGTAGAAGGAGCCAGGTGTAACCTATATATTTAGATGACGGACATTTATGTAACCTATGTGCGATTTCCATTGCAGAACTTGAAGCACCAAGTGATGACAACTAATATATGGTTGGAACAAGTAAGTACCATCGAACGCGTTATTTTTAGTAAATAATTCTATTCACATTTTCTTTTTTATATTGTGAAGCTGACAAAGACATCTCTACTTGGTGTCGACTCACCATGTCCTTTCATCGGTAGCGTCGATCCAAACGTTACAACTTTAAATTCGACCCTATTCTGCCATGAAAGGCTGAAAAGATTATGCACGTATTTTAGTTTTGCAGGTGAAGCTGTAATTGAATTGTATATGCTTGTTGTGGGGAGATACACCGTATTCTTTCTGAAGTAAACTGCACAGACACACTATTCGTATATAACTAATGCGATCGCCGGATAGCTACAGTAAGTATATTGTTATATATACTTCTTGCAGGAGTGGGAAGACTACAAACTGAAATGGAACCCCGCAGAATACGGAGGAGTTGACATGATTCACGTGCCCGCTGAGAACATCTGGCTTCCAGACATCGTATTATTCAACAAGTATGATAATGGATTAATGTGCTGGGTTCCGATAAATATTTTAATCGAACAATGTATCTATTGCACAGCGTGTAAGCGGAGTAAACCGTAGAGCTTAACGTCTAATAAGGCAATTAAATATAGGAATACTTGACGTTTCAGCGCTGACGGTAACTACGAGGTAATACTTATGAACAAAGCAACCGTTTACTCCACTGGAAAAGTTGTGTGGAAGCCTCCAGCTCTATACAAAAGCACTTGCGAAATTGATGTTGAATATTTTCCATTCGACGAACAGAACTGCCTCATGAAATTCGCGTCATGGACGTATGACGGTTTCGAAGTAGATCTTCTTCATCAAAAACAGAAACCTGGTGAGACCGAAGTCTCAACTGGTATCGACATGAGCGAGTTCTACAAAAGCGTCGAATGGGATATCCTCCTCGTGCCTGCCAAATACAATCAGGTAAGTATTCTATTTTGCCAAACAGATCTAGCAACTTGGATGTCGGACTGTCTAAGCTACCATGTACGCATAACAGTGCCACTAATGCTACTAAGAAATATTTAAAGAAATTCCCTGGCCATCGTTTTTTATTCGACATCCATCATCAAGCTGGCAACTGAAAAAACTCATCTACTGCTTTGTTTATGTCTTATCCGCATTTTTTTTTTCATTAGGGCAAGTACGACTGTTGTGTAGAACCGTTCCCGGACATCACGTTTAACATCACAATGCGCCGAAAGACGCTATTCTATACAGTCAACCTGATCATCCCGTGCGTGGGTATTTCCTTTCTGACAGTGCTAGTCTTCTACTTGCCGTCCGACTCGGGTGAGAAGGTTACCCTCTGCATTTCGATTCTCGTCTCGCTAACCGTGTTCTTCCTGCTGCTCGCCGAGATTATTCCTCCGACTTCCCTTGCCGTACCATTATTAGGCAAATACCTCCTGTTCACAATGATCCTGGTCACGCTATCTATCTCGGTCACGGTCGGTGTGCTCAACGTGCATTTCCGCTCGCCGTCCACGCACAAAATGTCCCCATGGGTACGGCGCGTCTTTATTCATATTATGCCGCGCCTTCTGCTCATGCGAAGGCCCAACTATAACCCCGTGCCCGACGAGGAGCATCACAAGTACACGTTACAACATCGCGCTCATCAACAGCTGCTTCAACAGCAGCGGCGCATACAGCAGCAACAGCAACGTGAACACCAACCGCAGCCCCCGCAACAACCACCCGCTGACTGTAATGGGGTTGAACTCAACTATCGTGAATCTATGCTTAGAGGTGTGTGTGACAGGGGCCGTTATGGACAAATGGCCCAATACCATGTTCGTACATACAGCTCATAGACATAAGTGGCTTGCTACTTATCATCTATTTGCTCGTTTATATACTTAACTAGCTCGTAAAAGGAAAAGTTGATGACTAATAAGGAAAAGAAGTGAGTTAAAAATAAAGCATCGTTTTCTCGCACTTATGGTAATGCCATATAGAATTTCGAACATACAGAAATATACGCTGCGATAAATAACACCTCAGAACTGAGAAATAACTGTAGGTGACGAATCATGTTCCAAGTCACAACCACCTGATTTACAGGCAATCCAAATGCGCTTCAATTAGGTTCAATACGTGCGATGCGTGCTAGCCCCTTGCTGGACGATGTGGGACTGGGCCGAGGCAGCCTCTCAAGTGGGTTAGGGGGGCTAAGCTCGTTGGGTAATATGGGTCCGATGGGCCCGATCGAAGCTATGGAGGCGGGACTCGACGCTGGTGGCTCCCCGCCACTAGAACCTCAACTTCAGCGACCCTACTCCGCCGAACTACAGAAAGCTATCGAAGCTATTCTCTTTATCGCTGAACATTTGCGAAAGGACGATGAAGATGAAAGTGTAAGTAAATCGTTTGTTTCTGTTTTCAATCATAGTTATAGCATATACTATATGTCGTTGGGTGGCCTCAAGTCAACTTGAATCTCTGATTTTTTACAGTCAAAGCTTAGGTCAGTGTTCAAAGATGAGCAGCAACTGTGTCAAATTATACTAATAGCATGAAGTAGCGTTCGTTGTGTCGGACACTTTCATTATCTATGCGTGTTCCCAGTGCAGAGATGAACTACTCGCCGCTGGAAAGATAGAGCCGATGGGATCAATGTTAATACTTTAGTAAATAAAACAGCCTATCCGATTTAAGGGATGCTACCTTTACAAGTTAAAAAAAAATAAGAATATTAAATGGTTTGTTGTTCACAGGAACGCCAAGACTGGAAATACGTGGCAATGGTGCTCGATCGACTCTTCCTGTGGATCTTCACCCTCGCGTGTGTTGTCGGCACGGCTGGGATTATTCTACAGGCGCCGTCATTATACGACGATCGCGAATCTATTGACGTGCTCATGTCCCAGATTGGAAGGAACACTGCACCAACAATAACAACATCCACTCACTAACAACATCAACACCAACAACTCAACAAAACTTATCAACTGAACAAGCCCATATTGAAGCCGACTAACACCAACCGACCCACTCTCTTCGACCTAAAACACAAATTGTAGAATTGGCTTCATTGACACACCCAAGCAAACTTCCGTTTATTGCCGATATGACAGCAATTCTTTGATTAACTAACAGAACGTACAATAGTTAGCCCTCTACGTACTACAACAGTTTGTCGTGTCTTCTGAACAGACGACCACTGGTAAAGCACTCGCCTGCTTATATCTAACGCAACCAATAATACGGATAACTGCTATATATATATAATCATAACTAGACAACTAGAGTATATGTAGGGTACTGATGATACGAGTCAATACCGAACCGCTGGTGAGTGCTAGTTCTCCGTGGTGTAATAATGTTGACGTGACATACAGCGTTGCGCTGAGTGCCGGACGTCAATTACCGAATATCGACTGTCAACAAACTGCTCCAACTGTGAGCAAGCACTATGGCTATCGGCAACGTCCCAATAGCAATAATAAACTGCTAAAGCGTTAGAATAATATTAATAGCATTACATCTCTATTGGGTCAGCATGAACTATTCTTATAAGTATTACTACTGTAGTTACAACTACAGAACAGTTCAAACAACAACAACAACAGCAGCAACAATAACCATAATATGACATGAAGAATATGATTGCGGCAATAGGCGTACGCTTGAAAGGAGAAGACGTGAAGCTGCGAACAGTATATTGATAAAGAAGAACAGGATCTAAACGCTGGTGATGATGACGACTATATGGCGAATCTAACACACTTTCAACGACCCTAGCACAGACTCTTTATCATATACAATATTCGTATTATTGCATATTACTCTATGAATACTTACTACACGTACAGACAACGACCACTCCTGCGGATGCCGAACTGTCGCGGTTGTCACACTGCTACAGCAACCCCCCACTGCTACACTGATATTGACAACAATATCAACAGGAAAATAAAATGACCCCCCCCCCCCAGTCATGACGGAACCTATGTCAGCCGATCAGTGTCTATCTGATCAATGATGCGCAATTGCCGCTTCAGCTTGAGGCGAACAGATGAACACAGAAAGAATAGAAAATGGAGAAGTATATAGAGAAGAAAGTAGAAGATGAACACACAAACGCTTAAAAAGACTACCGCAGCTCCCCAGTAACCTAGCCATTACATTCCGCTGGCTTTATTAATTATTTGTTGTGACGCTGCATATGCGATGCTATCATTTAATTATATCTATTCTGATAGTTTTTGCTATTGCGTCGACGCTCAACGCAGGTAACAATTTTTTTTTAACAAGCTAATTTGTCATTTGTGACATCTATACCATAGTAAATTCACCTAAGATCATCGAGACAGTGTTTGAATGGTCAGCATCAGAAGCTTATATACGTCTAACCGCATCTAACGCTTCAGCGGATCAAATCAGCTCTAACATGCTTCACCTCTTCAATAGAGGTGAAGTGCAACTCTGTTGATAGTTGGATATTAATTACATATATTTTCCAGGTGTCTTCTAGGTGTTCAGAGTAGCGGTTTTGCTCTTCAACAAAGCTCAAAGAGCTGTTGTACCTAGCACTCTTTGCACATATTGCAAATATTTGGCTACCTAAAGTCGACCAAACATTTTCTAAGCATCTATGTTTGCAAATACAGACATGTGTGTACTTGTATCAACTGTGACTTCGAACATTCGTTAAGTGATTAGACAAATGGTGCTAAAATTTTTATTACAGAAGCTACGTGAACTGTGCGAACGATGGATGGTAATGAACGTAATTGCGTTACCCTGTCGTTCGGTTACTTAACTAGCAGTTATTTAGGAAGTTAGTAATGAGAACACAAATCACTTTTGAAATTGAAAACTTTGAAAAATAATCATTTCTCGATAAGAGTCTCAGATGCCGAACAGACCTACTCGATTTGGGTGGACCAAAAACAGGTATAGCGCAGATTATCTCCACTTCTCTAAACTTTTCCATATGGTTTGCTCGTATTTATCAGAGTTTAGCATCTTTTTTAGGGTGCGAGCAACGATCGAGATTCACAGTTGAAAGTAACTATTGATCAACCCTTCCTCTCAGGTTCTACTACAACTGCCGAATGACTTTTGTTTGAAGATGTTACAATATTGCAAATAGCTGATATGTGTATTTGGCTGATTTTAAGTTATCCAGTAAAATTATTTTCTGCATTAGCAAAATGATATAAAAACAGTGATTTTTGAATCTATTTTTTCGAATCAATTTTATTCTCTCAACTTACATATTGAAGGTCACGACGCTAACCGGTACACATAAGCATACACTATGTCGCCTGACAACTATCAACAATGGTGCACTACGACGCTAGGTCAATTATATAATAATGAGATCGTCTCATTCATATACGCTGCTCAACGGAATAATGCTCCCAATAACCAACAAAAATCCGTGTTAGGCAATCTTCAGATTAAAAAAGTTGCAACGAAGGGTTTGATCCCACGAGATATGTCATTCCCTGTACCTAACGCAATAGGACATTTCTGGCTATTCCAGAATTATTGGGCAAATTTACTTGTAATATTGCAGATAATCCACCCATAGGGTTAAGGCATTTGTGGCATGCCCTAAAATGCGCGTACCGACTCTCCATTGAAGATGTACTGGCCTGTAAGAACTTTGAATGAAACATGCCTGGCAGCGGGTTGCCTTTCAAGGTTTGTATTATCAACGAACCAAGGAAAAGAATATAGGTGAGTGCTCCTTGTTTTTTGGCTGTTTATAATCGATCGCATTTTTCCTTTAACAGGTTTTCCTTAAGCCGTTCGAAGTATGTCCAATCGCACCACGGCCTATTTTATTTACAAGATAAAGGAGACTTTGTGTTTTCCGGTTTGTATAAACAAGGTTGTAAAAACAATAATATATATCTTAATAATCAAAACGCTGAATACACATATCACTGTTAGTACTACAGTGTTATTAGATAAGCGACCGAAAACTCATACGATACGTGTAGATACTTACCACGTAGAGTTCATGTCGTTAAATGGATAATCTAACCGGTACAACAATAGAACTACTAGAATTTGAGATATATAATTAACCAGCAAGATGAAATAATATAGCACGAAATAGTTTTAGGACGATTTTACTTTAGTCATGGTAATTGAATAGAATATATGTGGTTTACGAAAAAATAGATGAACTCTAGCAACGATATAAAGCTGATTGAGGAAGTAGTCATTTGCTTCATGTCAAAAGGTCTGTATATGTAAAATCTAGCGTTTGACAAACATTCTGAAGCCTACTTGTTAAGATTACTGTAGCCTCGTCCGATCTTACTGATAACGGGAAATTTCTGTACGACACCATTCAGTAGATACCTCGCATTTAAATGTTTATAGTTGAAGTCCTGACAAGAAGAATTGTGGAACGGTGCACCCAGTACGTTCAAGTTAGCTGAGCTCATCAAACGATCGATCGAAATGTCACACACTTGCATTGATTGAAATATACAAACACGCCAGATGCAATAAATCATTAATTCAGTATTATGTCGCATATGCACTGTATAACAAACAGCAAAAGACCTAATTCTATGCCAGCTCTATAGAAACGCATATATATATATATATGGGAAAACCCGAGCCGAGACTGTTCCTTCTAATGGCAGTTAATTAAGGTAATTTGTTTATATCGGATTCTTTAGTCTTCCTGAACGTGGCTGCATCCCGGTCCAGCCTGGCCTGCAATATTCAAGTAGGGAAATCAATAATATTTTTTACGCTTTTACTCTAAACAATATATATAGTATATAGATATCGACGGATAATAAATGAACATAGTGCATACTGCTATCTCGTTACCTAATCGTCTATTGTAACGTTTTTGTAGATCTGTAAGGTCCTGAACCGGATGTCCCTTTTTAATCAACTTAGCAGTCGTTCTTGTTTTTTTTTTTCGCATCTATTGTTTTCCGTCGTGAGGTACTTACCTATTTCGTCCCTCAATATTCCTCTATCTGGGCGTGCAGTGCGGCCATGCTGATGTCAAAGCATAGGGCAATCGCGTATACGCTCATTGTGCAAACACATGAACAGGCACAAAACACGGACTAAAACAAGACAACAAAAAAAAAACAAACCATACACGGCAAATAACACACTACATAATATTACGACGAACTCACGCATTCACTACAACAAATGCGACACAGATCAGTGTGAATTCGATACGAAGACAGTGAATTCTTGTGAATGACGTTGATCTTTAAGTAACTGCCTAATTGATTCATATATCTCTGTATTATTATAATGATTATTATTATTGCTATTGATCTATAATTACATGTAAGAAGAAAAAAAGAGCAAATGTGCGATAGAAAAGAAAAGTAAAGGAGCAGATCAGCCCTAACAGAACTGACTAACGATTTCTAAATGAGTAGTTGTTGTTGTTGTTGTTTACCCGTCACCGCCGCGCTGCCCCTATGTCTGGGCGTTGACAGCCCCATCCCGCAGACCGCATTGTTCAGCTGTACAGCAGAAAGATGAGATATCATACTAATTTCTCTCTCTAATTTTAGGTGAAAAACTGCCAAAAAAAAGCGTTCGGCTATGCGGAATATATGACTTAAGCAAGAAGCTGCTCAAAAAGAGGTGCGCTCGGTTTGATTCGACGCTGGGTGCTTTAATACTATATCAAATGATAATATGAACTCGTTTTATTTTCGAAAGTACTTGATGCGTGATTTGTAACATCTGTCAAAGATTCGTTCTGAATTGATGGAAGTGAGCCGTTCATATTACTTCTATTGGCGAAAAAAGCTTGATCATATAGTTGAATGAGTGATATTCCTACCTAATGGCCGTCAACCATGCATGGAGGTAGATGAAATGCTCACCAGATTCTGATGTAGGCTATATTAGTGAAACATACAAGAAAAATACGACGAAAATTGCGTGCGTAGTTGCGTAGATCGTTACTTTGAATGAAAGTTAGCCTTTAAGCTCTCGTTTATCTAGCTTAGCGTATAATTCAATTACCTTACAGCTACAAGCTATGTATATATAGACAGAGAGAGATTGCGGCCGCGTATGTGTGTTGTTGGCCGGACTAGAGGTTCTGTAGGGACGGGAACATTCGGCGTTGGCAACCAGTGGCACTTTAAACGGCCATTTTGTTTGGTTGGGTTTCTTCCACTTTGGCTGAGTCTGTCCTAATGACACAGTTTACGGTTTAAGGACGATTATGCTCTACTATAAGTACTGTTATCAGTACTAGTACCGAATAGCGAGTCCATCTATCATATATATTATTAGTACCATTATTAACGATATTTATTATTAATACTATTATTCAATATGTCTACAACAATTTAGGATAATAAAAGTATTTCATTATTGAAGAACTTTGAAACGATGCAAAAATCGAGCAGTAAAAAGCCAGACGAGGCCGGCATGTTTATCAGAGTGGCCTCTCGAAAATTTTATAATGGGCCATTACATTAAACAGGATAACATGATAGAACATTATATAGAAACACTTGAAATTAATCGAAAAGATCAGTCTGCAAATCCTTACGCATATACATACACACAATTCCCACTAGTTAATATATATATATGTACAACAGCCTGGCAGCTTGTTCGCGTTTTTTATACGACATCGGTGTACTCTGATTATATCATGTTGGCGTAGTTTGATGACAACAAAAGCCCAAAACGGGTTTACATCGAATGAAGGCTAGGTAACCGTATTCAACTTATTCCAAGAACACATGCGCGTATGGACAGATACGGGCAGGCAGGCGAGAACGCGTAAGACAGTATGCGCTACACGTTTCTATTTGGCGATTATTGACCGATACGTAAGATCTTTCTTCACATACACACATATATATATGCGCGTGTTTATGTCAAGGCTACGAGTAGGTCACGAGTGATTAATATGCTGAAACTTGAATAAGAGGAAAATTGAGCGCAAAGAAAGTAGAGGAATTGCAAGTAACTGTTTATTTACCCTATTATAGTCAGAGACTAAATATGTCAAATTAATTTTACCGTTATCAAAAAAAAACAAAACATACAGAAATGATTGCAGCACTATTATTATTATAAATATAATGTGAATAAGAAGCACACACGACAACGAACCTCGCATAAGAGCCACCTAATACCGATTTGTAATGTAGGCTTTTAGAAATTGGTGGCACTTATGATAAAATAGTAATGTTACTAGCATGCTGGCTGTTACAGCTAATGTCACTATTACTACATTTTCAATTAATATTTAGATATAATCGTTCCAGTATACACTCACATAATCCTTGGTGGGAGACTGCCGACGAAGTATTGCTTCTCTATTAATCGTTACCATGTAACTGAAGAGTCAGTGAAGTGTAAATTTTACAAGAGGAAGGTATTGGATAGGGGGCAGCTCTAGGCGAAGTAGTTTACCATGAGCGCGTGCACCTCCATGAATATGCTGATAGATACCTCCTTGCTTACTCTGATTTGTCAGGCAAACTGGTTCTCTCTGAAGGTGTGTGACGAAAGTATAGTTTTTGGATTGCGATTTTCGTTCCTCATAGATATTTGCAAGAAGCATGGTCGGATGCATTGTACCAGTAATAAGAACCATCTGAACGTTGCACCTGGCTACAGTCACCAGAGGCACTGTGGTAAACAATGTGGATAAACTGCGGTAGAAAACGGCGTGAAGATTGACACTTCGGGATGAACGGACTAAGGAATGTTTGATTGGCGGTGTTCACTGTCGTTGAGAATACAATATAGAGAAACAAATCGTTGAAAACTATATAGCAAATGCAAAAGCTACGATTATTTTGGGGAAAAAGAGCACGCCTTGTTTCATGGTCGGTAATAGTCTTTTATGAAACTTAGCATCCATATGGCAAGTTGTTTCCCCGAAAGATGCGAAAACTGAAACTCTCAATACATGGAGGTGCCACGTATCGAACAGTAAAGGATGACGAACTACGGAAAATTCAAAAAGAAGCGGTGTTATATCGCTAAGTAGTAGGTGAAGTATATTGAATCGACTAACTCATGAAAAGGACATGGATAGCCGCTTTATAGAAGTGACAACCTACGTTCATATTACAGTGATTCAGGAATGGTAAACACGAGTATCTATCTGAAATCATCAAACGCCCTAATACTTGTCAACAACTATATATAAAAGAATTGTAAATATTGAAAGTATGTAGCGTTACAATATTTATGATATTCAAATCTTATGTGCCTGGCATATTTATATGCTGGGCTATACCACACACAATTGGAGTTTACCCAGCAAATGGATTTCTATTAGATAATCTTGTTAATATACACGACACGCCTGTATCTGTATAGTTAATTCACCAAAAATTATAATTTAAAACATGAGAAATAGCGAAGCATCTTTGAGGAGCGATTGTAAAACGGAATTGGATAATCGTTGGTTTTAAGAACGAAGAAGTGGCTCCTATAAACTCACAGATGAATGGCACAGGCAGATTTACACGTAACGTGTGCTGCATTCCGAGCTCAAAAAGTTTATACGTAGATATTACAAACATACACACACACACACACATATATATATATATAAATATATATATATAGCTGTGAATACAACGGTGATGTGGGAGTAAAAGAAACATTTGCGCGAAAGATTAGCAAGTATCGATACAAATGGAAACTGGACAAATAAGACAACACTTTCATCGTCTGCTCTTTAAACACCTGGTCAGTAGCCTAGGGCGACAACCTAAGGATATTGATATTCAGCTGCTTTAACCGTTTGTTAACAAAACGAATCCTGAGCATCTATATTAGTAAGCAATGCGCTGGCCAATTATAGAACTATGTGCGTGCGGCATCATCTGACAATAGAAAAGTATGTGATTTAGTTTATTCTTGTATCGGGAGAACGCCCTGTCATCTTTGTATCAAGTGAATTACCCCACGTCTTCGTCATCAACGAAATTTCATATGCGTTTTTTGTATATCAAATATAAGAAACTTACGTATTACTTTATGTGTGCAAGAGAAACGGTGACCGAATGATAATTATTAGAAGATATGAAGGCTACACGAAATGTCCGTACAATGTCTCAAATTAATCCTGTGACTGCATGGGCACAAATAGCATGTTATCATAGGATGCGTAACATATTGTCGATTCTATGAAGATTTGGCTTTTGTGGTGGTCGAAGCTTTATACGCTTATCACACTGACTCGAGCCCTGAATAGTTCGCCTCGACCGCAAATATTGGTTAAAATACAATTATTAGAGGTGTCCACGTACTTAGCTATTTATGACGATTTTCATTAGCTAAGTCAATGGTCAAATTGTATTGTACCTAGGACGTTGAATAACGTGCCATCACCTATAATCTTCTATGTACTAATTAAATATGACATTAGTATTTCGCTGGCAGCTGTTGTTGTTTTGCGTGGTTCCTCATGCAATTTTTGTGCAATACCATACCACGCAATGCGTAATAATAATATCCCGGTAATAATATAAAGAAAATCAATTTACCTATAGCGGCAGTGCCAAAGCTTTGTAGGTAATCTGTAATTAACTACGATTATTACCACTGCAACTCCATGTGTTATGGACTAACTGCGAAAACCGTCACGATTGCAGCTAAACAAGACCCCGTGAAGCTATAGCAGTGGTAATCTTACCAAAAAAAAAAAACAAATAGTCTTCAGCACGCAAATATTTGTAAAGAAATTTATGAGCATGAAGGAAGCGATTGATAGTGAAAAGCGATAGTAAGTTCTGCGGCTCTGTACATTTAGATTCTTGAAGAAACTTTACAGAAACTCAAAATGTCAATTACTCACCTAAATTAATTCATATTTTACAAGTTTCGCTGAAAGTATAGCGTTTTCTACGTGGGATAAAATATTGTACTGTAAGAAAGACATGGAAATTAAGCAACGTTTTTTCCCGCTGCATATGTACAGAGTGAGCGAACGTGAATAAATGACGCTAGCGTATAATAATAGATAATTACTTAACAAGGTGGATAATAATTATGAGAAGGTGAAAAGATTGAAGAAGCACACTGTTCTAGTTGAAAGAGACAGCTGTTTAGCCATGTAATGAAATAAAAAATAAACA